ATGCCAAAGATTTCCCCCTAATAAGATGCTTCAAACAGCAGTGGTGGCATTTAACAAGTGAAGAGTTTCATGAGATTTCATGCTGAACTAGTGTTGGAGCTACAAGAATTGTACTTGTATGGCAGTATTTCTAAAGAAAAGTGTCCGACACACTTTACAAAGCAAAATCATTCAAGAAGCTACATTTTAGTGGTTTCATCAATGCCTCATGAAACACTATGGCCAAAATGTAGTGCTAGATTGCATTTTTCTTTGCGCTTATTTTCCAGGTGTGCATTAGATTGCATAATATATGCACATGATAGTTGCATAATAGGTACTCCAAATGCATACTATGGTAGGATTATGGCAGAAGGAGGAGGGAGACACATCATTATGTTAATGTATATGCAGCTAGTGGCATGTCATACATACTGTGTCCTTGCCCTGTGCTTCTCTGGTGCTCACTACAGAGACTAAAACTAAACCTACACCCAGGTTCACAAAGTGGTTGTCCCTCCCTTTAAAGGGACTTATCAACAAAATTGACTTTTCTATGTTACTGCTACTCCCTTGCTCAGAGTACTAAGGTCACCCGTTTGAAACCCTGGACCTGCTGGGAACATGTTGGCAAGCAAAATGAGTAAGTAATGCTGTCACTTTACTTAGCAACTGCTGCTGAAATGCCCCCGAGGAAGGGCACGGAAACCTCATTAACCCCAACCTTAACCCCATCTGCTCTAGTGAATTTGCTCACTGGCACCAATTCCAGACTGTTGTACCCCGTCAACTGAATTTTTAAGAGGGCATCATTGACACAAAGCATATGTCTTCTCTTGACTTTCCCGGAATAAATATGGGTATAAAAATAGATTAGCTGTTGCCAAAATGGATATATAGCTGCGGGAAACCAAACACTGAGACTGAGAGAGCACATGAATGCGAAATAAAGCAATAAAGCTCATCAGATCTTAACTCAAAGCTGACAGCCCTTTAAAAATAACACACAGCTGCTTTACACTCCTCACCTGCCAGAGTATAAGAGAATAAATCAAACGTAACCTTCAGTCTTTGCAGAGCACCATGTAATTATTCACATGCTTCCTCCGCCAAGGCAGTTTTGATTGAACCACAATCAAAAGGAGCAGACAAATAAACATGAAAAAAATCCAGTGCTGTGTCCAGCGCTTGGGGGCACTGTTAAAAAACTTTATCCTCCAATGAAGTTCAATTTTAAGAAGAAAAAGGGACATTCGCTGTTTGTCAAGGATTCACAAGGTGATGATCATAGTGGTGGCGTTTCCACTGCTTAGTTCGTCCTCTCTGGTTGACGTCATGCTATTTAGCAAATTTAGCTACTGCAATCTTTGTTTAGGAAAAGACATTAGACCAAAGAACGCAATTAAATATTTTAAATCACTTTTAAATCACCTCCCTTAGGCTACACTGAACAAATGCAATGAGACAACAAAGCTTGGCATAACACTCAAATCTCAACGTTTTACACAAACACATATTTTGCAAGAAGATAGGAATCACACCCAGCCCCATTTAAATAGCTCATAAGTTAATAAAATTACAACAATAGTCAATCAAATAACATAGTTTAACTTCTGATGTCTATACTCCATAATGACTAATAAAAATAAAGCACAGGCCACAAAATTGTTAACTTTCCTCATACATTGAACCACAAAATTCTCGGCTGAACACTATAGTTATCAAGTTATTATTATTAAGTATATGTGCAATCTAAAACGAGCCCTCCAACAAATCCTTCCTTTGTAAAGACAGTTCAAGACAGACAGTGTTTATGCTTTGATCGTGGTTGACCGATGTTATTTTTGAGGCTGTAGTTTGTGGAGATGTTTTATTGGACTGCATTTGCCCGAAATGTTATATAATACTGTCCCTCTCTTGTTTATAAATGTGATTGAACAAACAGAAAACAATATCTCTCAGTTTTTTTCATAAAGTTGAGTTAAATGTTGTCTGACCATCACTAAAATGTGGTACTTATGACTTTATATATAAATTGCAATGTACATTTTCTAGAAGTGCAAAGCTCACAAGTTGTTACATTTTGTCAAAATGTTAGAGCCCAGAAGAAGCCTTTAAAATGTTTCTTTTGATCATTTTTGTTGTTGACCTATTTTTTGTTCCGACCATGACATTAAAATAGAGTGCACAAAATCATCAACACTTTTGAAAAGTGAACAACAGAATGGCAGTTTCTGATTCTCGTCACCCAGGAACAGGTGACATCAACCAGAATCTGAATCAGAAGACCTTAATTTTCTAATAACAGACATTCAAGCAACACTTGAATACCAGAATACTTTGACTTCCCATGTGCCCAGAATAAGACCTCACAACTTAAAGGCACCATTTGTTAAATACTGCAGCTGAACATCTCTTCCACTTTCAGATTTCTTTGTATTTCTTTTTAGAAACTACAGCATTAATAATAAATGATGTGTCATGTCGTTAGTGAATCCTCCTGAAAAGTCAGGTTTTCAAATTTCAAAGGGTTATTTTCTACATTATTATTAAAATAAAACAGATGGCAGACCATTCATTTTCATTAATATTTTTTTCCTGCAAAAATCTGATAAAACAATTCATAAAAACAAATTAAATGATATATGTAATGACACAGGTTTCTGTACCTGTGATATTGTACACTGCGGCAGACCTAGATGGAAATAAAACTTGCAGCCTCTGAGTCCTCATGGCACACAGTTTGAAAGCCCAGCCTTAAAAGCATATTAACCCTGTCTGGCAGTAAGTTTAATGGATAAATCCCGAGCCTCTCCACCTGCGCCCTCACTGTACATCTCTCTGCAGGGGAACCTCAGCTAAGAGCCTCATATGTAAACAGCACTTGTTGCTCTTTGGTATACCAGCACACAGTCAGGTTTGATTTAGAGTCTTTTCCTGGATGTAACACAGGGAGACAAAGGTGTTGATGAGTCGACACAGCAGCTCAGTTTGTCTCTCTTGTGCTGTCTGATTAGTGTTACATCTGCCACTGCTGCTGCTCTCAGTGTCGGCAGAAAATCCCTCACTAATTTGACAAATCTCAGAAGTATCTGCTCGTTTCCTCTGTCGGCAGTTAGACTAGCACCCATTTATTTAGAAGGACGAGATGAGGAAAGACGACCCCCCCCCCCCCCCCCTGTCTTCACCCAGAGGTTTTTACCTCTACAGATGTTAAGTTTTCTCTATTTGGTCTCCCATCTTTTGCACATTGGACAAAGGTATTTATGTCCGGCCACCACAGTGCTGCACGTGTCTGATTAGAAATGAATAGCTTTCTAAATGTTCATCACTTAAATTTTGGCTTAAGTAACCTGTTTCCATATTTCTGAATACCAAACAACTAAAAATAAATGAGTGCACTTTCTGAACCCTCCTAGTTTCATACATAGAGGAAACGTTTGTGTTATTCGGCAGCTTATTTAGAATTAATCTAATCTGAAATGAACGCAGTGTGACCTAAGTGTCTATGTACACATAATCTTACCTGTTTTCATGGTCTAGCTTCAGATCTCTCTGTCTCATTGCTTTTGTTTACCCTCACATAATGCAGGAAATAAACATTTTTACTCAAGGTCAATCGTAGTTCACGGCAGCCAACTATTTTGCATAATTATTTTTGTGTGAAATGAGTCATGTAAAGTACACTAAGTAGTTATATATAACAAAGTATTACAATATGAGGAAATATTTTCTATATCAGTGGGGTTTGGGGTGAGCTTATATCTTACTACACTTAATTATAGAGAAATAGCAAAGTTTTAACCCCTTGACACCGATTGTCGCGAATTCGCGTCACACCTCATCCTTTCAGACTGCAGCCAAGATAGCGCATGTATTCCCCCGATGCCTGTTTGTGCAGATTGGATACGCAGCTAGGAACGTTTTGCAAGCGCTGGTTTCTCGTTTATGCCTGTTGTCGCTAATTTGCATCATACCTACATCATACCTGAATTTATATCTTTTCTGTGTTCTATAGACATTTTTTTATTTTTTTTTTTGGTAAAAAATCAGGCGTCAAAGGGTTATATCTAAAGTCTTAGGAGCTTTAACAAGGCCAATCAGAAGTGTGTATTTTATAAAGTTGCCATAGAAGAATTTAGTAAGGAAATAAAAAAGGGAAAGTTTAAAAGGTTTCACACACTTCGCAATGGATGTATAGCTTTTTTTCCATTACCAGAACCAGCTCAGTTCGCCTCGCCTCTACTCGACTCTGTCACCATCAATTTCCGTAAAATTGTCAATATTCGAAATCTACACAGTTGATTTGTCACCTAAAAACTTCCCAGAAGTGGATTTAGTGATGAAATAACGTACGGAAATTGTAAAATAAAAAAACTGCAGTGAATGATGCAGTGAATAGTGGCAATTCGCTGTGACCAATCAGTAGTCTGCTGTGTTGTCAAGTCACATTTTAGTTTCGCCCCAGCTCACTTGGAACCTCGACGGAGGTGATACGAAAAAAAGTAGCAGGTACAGGAACAACTTTTCCACAATGGCAAACCAAAAAAGGCGAGTAGAGTCGAGTTAAGCTGTTACCATGCGGTGGAAAAGGAGCTTTAGTTTATTCCCTTTTTGTGTAATAACAAATTTGCCTCATAATGAATCCAGACAAAAAGATATTATCAGCATGCAGATTCAGCTGGTACAATAAAACAATATGAGTTTGTGAAATGTAGTGATCTACTGCTAGAACTGTTAGCATTGTAGCTAATGTGGCGCTGTTGTATAAACGTTACAGCGTCACTGAAATTTCCAGAGTGGTAAACACTGCGCCAACCAAAGCAGAGCGCGCAAAGCAAGACCCCTGTTTTTCCACTTTAATGTGAATACACCTAAACACACAGTGAAGGGCAGTCAATCAGTGGACTGTTTGACAGAGTGCTGCTGCTTTGCTCTCATTTGATTGGCCATCAGATGACAGGCAAACTTCTGAAACTTTATCTTATGTTTGCATGCGTGTTTTTGTGTGTGCGTTGCAGAGCCCTACAGCCCGGCAGTGTGGGTGATGATGTTTGTGATGTGCCTGTCGGTGGTGGCTGTCACCGTCTTCATCTTTGAGTTCTTCAGCCCCGTGGGATACAACCGCAGCCTGCAGAGCGCCAAGAGTAAGAGACGGAGTCACTCTAGCGCCGGCACGCCAATCAACCCGCTGCCACTGCTCATTTCACAACATTATTACCAACTTGTCACTTCGTCAGTTATGTAAGCGAGGGGGGGCTGATTTGAGGAGGCCATTTGCTCAAATTATGCAAAGCGTCCCACTATTTTTGACTGCACATGAGTCAAAACAATCACTCCACACCCACCATCCAGCTTATTTATTTTTAATGAAACAAACACTGACGGCGCGGTGGTGGTTGATTTTGACATTTTTACAGTGCTTGTCAGTTTATCATTCATTGCATCTGTTTACTGGCTGCTCCTCTGAGCTGCTACATTCATTTCAAATAATCATTTGGAAATGTTATTCATTACCTTCTAATAAACTGACCCAAGTGGAATAATACTGAATTGGAGTGACAGGTAGGTGTTTGTTCATCACTGGTTTTCAGTTCTAGCTTCTTCTGTGCAAAAACACCTCTGCTTCTGTCTCTCTTCTCTTCTTAAGTCCCTCACTTTTTCATATTTCTCCACATGATAAGCACAATGTAAGTACTTGTATCTTGTACATGTATATTCTACACTATACACACATGGTGCTGGTTTTACTGTCATGTGAATGGGGGCAGACCTGACATCTTTTCTGCTTCTCGCCATCACCCAAATCCACTTCAGTGGCTCAGTAGTAGGTCAGTAGCTTGGTGATTGGCTGCAACCCCCCGTGCACATTTGCCTACGTGCAGAAGCATGTTTCAGCCCTCACTTTTTAGCCTTTGTCTTTGGCAAAATCCGTTGCAGCACCGTGGTTCACATCAGATATCAAAGATATCATTTTTGAAGTGTAATAGGAGACTATAACCAACTAGATTCCTCTATCTAACCTTTGTCTCATTCTTCTCCCCTTCTGAGGCTTCGTAGTTTGATGATTCTATATTCAACAAAAGGGAGTTTACTTCCATGTTTAATCTTTTATATCTCCATATAGGTATTTTCTCTTCCCACTAACTCTGTCACTCCTGTTTGAACTCAACATCAGACAGTTCTTAGATCACTGTAGGATATGCTTTTTTTCCTCCTGCAGTGAGTTTCCAACATCAGATTAAAAACTTGAAACCAGAAGAGTGGACACTGTTATAGCCACCGATTTCACCAATCCCATACTGTTATAAATTGGATTTTAAGATACTGAGCGTCCTACCCCGCCTAATATCACTCAGCATGGGTGTTGAATTGTTCATAATCTCCTAAAAACTTTATTTCTTTCACACTATCTCTCGCTCTCTCACAGAGTCAGGTGGATCTAAATTCACCATAGGGAAGTCCGTTTGGCTGTTGTGGGCTCTGGTCTTCAACAACTCTGTGCCTGTGGAGAATCCCAGAGGAACCACCAGCAAGATCATGGTGACCCTCTAAATTACTCACTCTCCTGTTGATCAGTTGATGGACTGGCTGATTGACTGTTTTATTTAGTTGGTGGCTGGATGATCATTTGATGATTTGCAGGTGAAATTATGTCAACTTGTCTAGAATATTTGGGTCATTTAGGTCAAGTTACATATAACCTTTATTTCAGCAGCATTTAAAAATGTATATGTCTCTCCATGTGCTAAAAACATGCCTAACATATATCCATTACAATGCTGTTAGATGCAACATAGATGTTTTCATTAAATCAATTTTCAGGGGATTATTGATTGGTTTATTGTTTAAAATGTTTATTTAAAGGTGAAATATAATACAATACTGCTTTATCTACAGATTTTACTTGACTTAATCTTTTCAGGTGTTTTGTGCCCATACATTGCCACATTCCTAATTTGCATTATCAAGAAAAAACACTTGCAAGCTTTATGAGCCAATGCAATCAGTTTGAGAGTGTTCATTCACTTGTTTCACCGCGGTGGTCTTTTTAATACCTGCTGTTACTCTCTGCCCTCAAGACATAAAAAGAAAAATCAGTCAAGAACTTTCCCCCTCTACTGCAGAGTAAAGAGCCATGGGAGGTTAAAAAATGCAAGGTGTCTTTTTTTCTTCTGACTGTCTGCCCGAGTGCTTTTCACAAAAACCCCAATCATCTCAAGAGCTCATTAGCTCAATTGGCTTTACAAAAGGGGGTCAGAGGAGAATTCTTTTTTTCTGCAAATGTTGTAGTTTTTCGTTAAATTGTAGGTTTGCTTTATGTACCCTTACATGCAGAGCAAGATTAATGGTCCTGTATCAAACCCCTTTTCTTTCATTAAAGAGGATTTTTAAAAATACACTGAAGATACAACTGTGTCTTTAAGAACATTTAAAAATAACAGCGTTCATCCAAATCTGATCCATTTTTATAACACATGCCAGGATATATTAAATCTTTAATTAAGGCTTATTCTCTTGACTTCCATTTATTTGTTCATTTTTCACATCTGCCTAAGCCCATTCAGGGAAATCAATGGCTATCCCAGCATGCAGTGGATGGATAATTGACATCCATGTATTATTTATATTATATATTAAAGTTTTAATAGGTCTTACATCATCCCAAGGCTTACGAAATTCACGAGGGACCCCTTGTAAGTGAGGAGTCTGTGTTTCAACCCTCCTGTTATGATGCGTTGTACTGCTGAAGTGTCATTGAGCAAAACACTCTTCTTCTGTTGCCAGGGTTATAAGTGTACATTTTTCATCCTATTCATTAAGAAAATTATGCAAATTAATTTTTGGCATAAACACAGAGTACCGTGGAAGCAAATAGCCCTGTTTATCACCATCTGCAAGTGCAATTTAGTTCTAAAACTAATCCACATCTCCGACTTGCTTTCTGGCTGAATGTCAACAGTGCAGCATCTTTTAGCTATAAAAGAAGCACTTCTGAAAAGCTGAATGACTTTATGCCAAGTCCTTAAACCACCTTTCAAAGGATCTTTTAAATGTGCCATAGTAATTTAGTAACTAGTGTTATCCAATAGTGTAAATTGTACTTATATCTGTCTGTATCACTTAAGAGGCAATACCATAATGTAAAAATACTCCAATTACAGGTACACGTCCTATTAACATGAGCCAATAAGAAAGCCTAATATTTCTTGTTCTTTAGATCTCCAATATTGTTCAACAATTATTGAAAACATTTAAATCAGCCATGCTGTTACACTGGATGGCATCTTCCTTTATTACCATGAACACACACACTGTAGTTTCTTTTGACTCAATCCCACATACATCATCCTGCTGCTAGAAATACTCACTAGATGCTCACTAGAGCACCACATGTGTATTGATCCCCTGCTGAAAATGATCCCTAACAATAGAAACTATTCAACCATGTTTGCTAGAAACTACAGTGGTCAGCTGTAGGGAAATTATTGAGTTCTTTGTCTGTGAGTGATCGGGCAGGGTAGGGAAGTTTAACACATTGTTGGTTTTGGACATTTCAGATTAGAGAATTCTGCAATTCCTTTATGTATTAGAAGGAGAAGTATTCTGTATGTAAAACAACAATGCAAAAACTACAGTTACAGTTTCACAGGGGTTAATTTGCATTTTGGAAATAATCCATTACATAACCCCCATTATAACCGCAACTTTTACACTTTTATGTTATAGTACGCATTAAACAAACAGGATATAACGTGTTTATTAGTGTGATTTGCAGGTGCTGATAGTTGGATTTTGTTACCTTAGGAGGGAGCCAAGTTGGGTGCAACTAACTGGCTTCCCATTTACCATATACATCATCTTCACATATAATTCTCATCAAGAAAAAAATAATAATTAAATGTCAAACTATTCCTTCAACAATGCTTTTGTAGTTTGCAAAAGAACAAGTAACTATAACTGTTAGGTAAATGTAGTGGATTAAAAAGCACCATATGTAGTGGAGTAGAAGCATAAAGTAAAATAAAATGTAAATACTCATTTAAAGTACAATACAGTACAGCTTGATTAAATATACATTATTTTCCATTATTCATATATATGAACCATGACAGACATATTGGCGCAGGAAAAACTATGATTTGCTCACAGAACTTCAAGTACGGAAAGGACAAATTCTGAGGTAGCAGTGACGTTTTTTTTTGTCATACTGACAAAAGCAACTCTGCCCTCCAGGCAAGACAAAGACATCAGCTGTGGGTTTAGCAATGAAATGGCAACAAGTGAAAACAGTGTCACTGAAATATCAAAATACTTCAACACCTATCAGACTCAGCCCTCATTGATCTTACTCCTCTTTCAGGTGCTGGTGTGGGCTTTCTTTGCTGTCATCTTCCTGGCCTCCTATACTGCAAACCTGGCTGCCTTCATGATCCAGGAGGAGTACATCGACACAGTGTCAGGGCTGTCTGATAAGAAGGTACGGTCTGGGAGGGAGGGATGGATGAACGAATGGATGGATGTATGCATGAACAGGTGGATGGCCAGATGGACTGATAGATGAATAGATAGCTTAGCAAGGAATCAGAATGACGTGTATGTTTACCTAATGTAAAATGCTGGGTTTTGTTAATTTTAAATTTTTTTGGTCCGGTGGGTAGCGCTGTGGCCTCACAGCAAGAAAGTTGCGGGTTGCATGTTCTCCCCGTGTCTGTGTGGGTTCTCTCCGGGTGCTCTAGCTTCCTCCCACCGTCCAAAGACATGTGGCCTAGGTTGATTGGTGACCCTAAATTTGTCTTTAGGTGTGACTCTGTGGGGACAGAGTCTGAGATCCACTGAAGAAGAATACATCTCCTTGCACTAAACAGCAACACCTTAAGCAACTTCAGCGAGAAGGGGTTAACGTGTAAAGCTGCAGATTGTATTCCTAGAACACAAAAAATAGGTTAGGGCTGGTTTTCCCTTGAATATAATATCAATTTCTTTAAAAACCTTGGTCCAAAAGTCACCAACAAGAGGGCATCCAAAAATACTGTAACAGTTTTGCACTTGTTACAGTATTTTGAGAGCAGAGGATTAAACTGTTTTGTTAATTTTTTTAAATAAACAAATGTATGAGAAACATGAAAACATTTCATTTTGCTTCTTGTCTTTCTCCAAAACAGGTCGGCAACTTCAGCTTCAGTTAACAGAAAGTAGTGAAATACTGTATATAATCCTTCAAAATGTTCTGTCTCCCTGTTGCCTACTCTTCTTTTATTTCACAGTGCAGCTTCAGCAGAACCCAAAAACTATCCTGCTGTTCTCACACTTTAAAACCTCGTCTGTTTTATCAGTCTCTGCCCTCAGCTCTTCAGAAAACTGAAGCATAGGCCATTCTTTGAAAGTGAAGTGATCTTTGTAGCACTTCAAACAGCCCCCCCCCCCCCTTTTTTTATCTACCTTTCTTTAACTTCCTTCTTTCCTTCTTTCCTTTAATCTCCGCCCACCTCTTTTCATACAGTTCCAGCACCCAACAGAGCAGTACCCACCACTGCGTTTCGGCACAGTGCCAAACGGCAGTACAGAGGAGAACATCCGCTCTAACTATCCCAACATGCACCAGTACATGATCCGCAACAACCAGAAGGGTGTGGAGGAGGCCATTGAAAACCTCAAGACTGGGTAAGGAAAGGATAAAAGAGGGGAGGGGGTAAGTAGTGATAAGTAAGGAAACAACTATAGGAAAGAAAAGTTAAATGATGCACCAGACAAGGACAGAAACTACCCCACAATTTTAAAGAAAACAAAAGGTTTTATATTTTTAAAATTATTAATACTAATACTCTGTTTCCTTTTACTCTTAAATTATATTTCTACTGTAATATTTTATTAGATATAGGGCATCACACATCTCGATCCACCCTTGCAGGTGGAGACAGGAAATAGTAGATTGTAAACATGAACTGTGGAAGCTAGCATGGCTACCATGCTAACAACAGTATTCTACAAATGTGATGATTATACAGCATTTATCAAACATTTTACTGTCTAACGCCACTCCACACAAAAATGAATGGCAATTCCATTCTGAGTGTGCCATGACTCACCTGTTGAGTTGATATTTTTATTGTTGCATAGAGTCTGGTGACCTCACCTAATTAGCTCACATAGCTCCACCCAACTTTAGCCACAACAGTAAACACCTGTGTGGGTGTGTGCAGGGCTTTTATCACTTTCAAGAGATCCTTGAGTACAAAAAGCAATTGCTAAAATGGATCAAAAATGTAAAATAAAAGTAAATAATTAAGTTATCCTGATTTAACTTTTAAAAAATACAAATAGACAATTATAAAAAAGGTATAATAGATAGAAAATTACTTACATTCAATTGTACTTTTGTGTGATATCTGGCATTAGGCCGGTTGTTAGAGCCACTGCAGGGGGTGAGTGAATGAGCAGAGGAAAAATATGGAGTGGATATAAGTTGAATGAACATGATTTATGGAGGGAAATAAAAATAACAAGAGTTTGCTGATGCTATTGGGCATAAAATTCAATTTGGCTTCTTTTTATTTGTTGATACAAAATAATGTAAATGTTAATGATTCATAAGAATTTAATTTACGTGTGGTGGGCGGGCATTACATTTTTTTCTGTTTCTGATAGGGAGCACGACAGAATGAGCCTATTGCATGTGTGGGTTCAGTTCAATTTTATTCATATAGTGCCAAATCACAACAACAGTTATCTCTGAGCGCTTTTCATAAAAGAGCAGGTCTAGACCGTACTCTGTGATGATATTTACAGAAACCCAACAGTTCCCACCAAGAGAAAGCACTAGGCGAGAGAGGCAAGAAAAAACTTCCTTTTAAGAGGCAGAAACCTCGAGCAGAACCATGGCTCAGGGTGGGCGGCCATCTGCCTCGACCGCTTGGGGGGGATGGAAGGAGAGAGAGAGGGGAGGGAGGCAGCCTACACAATACACACAGAGGTACAGACAGTAAAGGTAATGTTGCTGTAGACTGAATGAATAATGGTACAGATATTTACAGTAGTGTTGTAGTAATGATAATAATCGTTATGTTAATGATTATAATTACAATAATAACAATAGTTGTAGCAGATGGTGTCGAGCAGGAACACGGGGGCAGCAGGTGACTCGCAACCATAGATCCAGAGCCAGAATCACCTGCAGGAAGTGATAGGAGGAGAGAGGAGAGGGACGAGAAAGCACAAGACTACGGGAAAGGGGAGAAGTCGAGTTAGTAACATGCATTAATGGGATGAGGTTGCATAGAGAGGGAGAGAAATAAGAGTAGAGAGGAGCTCAGCGCATCATGGGAAATTCCCCGGCAGACTAGGCCTATAGCAGCATAACTAAGGGATGGTTCAGGAGTCACTTGAGCTAGACCTAACTATAAGCTTTATCAAAGAGGAAAGTCTTAAGCCTATTCTTAAATGTGGAGATGGTGTCTGCCTCCTGAACCCAAACTGGAACCTGGTTCCACAGGAGAGGAGCTTGATAGCTGAACGCTCTGGCTCCTAGTCTACTTTTGGAGACTCTAGGAACCACAAGTAACCCTGCATTCTGGGAGCGCAGTGCTCTGGTGGGGTAGTAAGGTACTATGAGCTCTTTAAGATCAGATGATGCCTGACCATCAATAGCTTTGTAGGTAAGAAGAATGATTTTAAATTCTATTCTGGATTTTACTGGAAGCCAATGCAGAGAAGCTAAAACTTTTCCTGGTTCCTGTCAGAACACGTGCTGCAGCATTCTGAATCAGCTGAAGAGTCTTAATGGACTTTTTCGAGCAGCCTGATAATAAGGAATTGCAGTAATCCAGCCTAGAAGTAACAAATGCATGGACTAGTTTTTCTGCATCCTTTTTAGGCAGGATGTTCTAGATTTTTGCAATATTACGTAGGTGAAAAAAGGCGGTCCTTGAAATTTGCTTAATGTGAGACTTAAACGACATGTCCTGATCAAAGATAACTCCAAGATTCCTCACAGTGGTGCTGGAGGCCAGGGCGATGCCATCAGGGGAAACTATATCTTTAGATAATGCGTCACCGAGGTGCTTAGGCCCCAGAACAATAACTTCAGTTTTATCTGAGTTTAACATAGAAAATTACAGGTCATCTGGCTTGATCGATATATACAACTGAGTATCACCTGCATAACAATGAATATTTATGGAGTGTTTCCTGATAATATTGCCTAAGGGAAGCATATATAAAGTGAAGAGGATTGGTCCGAGGACAGATCCTTGAGGAACTCCATGACTAACTTTGTCGCGCATGGGGGATTCATCGTTAACATGTACAAACTGAAATCGATCTGATAAATAGGACTTAAACCAGCTTAGAGCGGTTCCTTTAATTCCAATGAAATGTTCCAGTCTCTGCAATAGGATCTGATGGTCAATGGTATCAAATGCAGCACGAAGATCTAATAAAACCAGTACAGAGACATAAGAGAGATAAGGAGGTCATTAGTAATTTTCACCAGTGCTGTCTCTGTGCTATGATGGACTGAAAATAAACTATTGCTCTGTAGAAAGTCACACAGCTGTTTGGCGACTGCTTTCTCCAGGATCTTAGAGAGAAATGAAAGGTTAGATATAGGTCTATAGTTGGCTCAAACATCTGGATCAAGTTTGGGCTTTTTCAGAAGAGGTGTAATTACAGCTACTTTAAAGCACTGTGGTACATAGCCTGTTGATGAAGATAGATTGATCATGAAGCATGAAGTGCTGACTAAGGGTAAAGCATCTTTAAGCAGCCTAGTCGGGATGGGGTCTAAAAGGCAGGTTGATGGTTTAGATGAAGAAATTATTGAAGTTAGTTGGTAAAGATTGAGGGAAGCAAAACAGTCTAAACATATATCTGGTTCTACAGTTGTTTTTAAGGTTCCTGAGTTTAGAGATAAGTCGGTGCCAGCTGAGGGCAGGTCTTGGTGAATTTTGTCTCTAATAGCTAGAATTTTATCATTAAAGAAGCTCATGAAGTCGTAACTACTGAGAGCTATGGGAATACTTGGCTCAATAGAGCTGTGACTCTCTGTCAGCCTGGCTACAGTGCTGAAAAGAAACCTGGGGTTGTTCCTATTTTCCTCTATTAATGACGAGTAGTACGCTGCTCTGGCATTACGGAGGGCCTTCCTATAAGTTTTAAGACTATCTTGCCAAATTAAACAAGAATTTTCCAGTTTGGTGGAACGCCAATTCCTCTCAAGTTTCCGTGATATTTGCTTTAATTTGCGAGTTTCAGTATTATACCATGGAGCTAACCGTCTTTGTTTTATTAGTTTCTTTTTTAGAGGGGCTACAGAGTCGAGTGTCATTCGCAGCGAGCCTGCAGCACTATCAACAAGATGATCGACTTGGGAAGGACTGAAATTAGCATAGGAGTCCTCTGTTACTTTGTGATCTGATACTGAATTTATAGCTGATGGAATCGCATCCTTAAATTTAGCTATAGCACTATCAGACAGACATCTTGTATAGAAATTTTTGCCCAATGGCGTGTAGTCCAGCAATACAAACTCAAAAGTTATCAAACAGTGGTCAGATAAAGAGGGATTCTGTGGGAACACTATTAAATGTTCAATTTCAATACCATATACCAGAAAAAGGTCAAGGGTGTGGTTAAAATAGTGAGTCTGTTCATGAACACTCTGAGAGAAGCCAATGGAATCTAACAGAGAGATAAACGCAGTACTAAAGCTGTCATTCTCAACGTCCACATGAATATTAAAATCCCCTACAATAATAACTGTCTGTTTTAAGGACTAAAGTTGACAAAAACTCTGCAAATTCAGATGAGAATTCAGAGTACGGCTCCTTGGACTGTGACATGAGAGTTACTCCGAGTTATCGTTTTGTTCCTATCATGAAACGTGATCTATCATGGTGGGAGTGATCTCTTTTAGGATGATAATACCCCACTAGTTCCACAGGCTTAAAGAATCCGAGTCAAGGAGCATTGAAGCTGTTCTGAATGTCAGCCATCTGTAGTTCTCAACACAAAAGGAAGTAGGATATCTCAGCTGCCACACTAGACAGATCAAAATAGGTTGGTGGTCATGCATCTATCTCAGGGTTGGTGTGGACTGATCCATTTGTAGAAATGTCAGCATATCACAAAACAAATGTCTAATACACTCCAATAACAAAAGCACTGCCCATAGAGTAAAAGAAGTCCGATGCGGTATCCACAAATCGAAGAATATACGTCTACTGTCATCCACTTTGGTTTACAAAAAAACCCTCAGCTTTCTGCTACATTAATCCTGTAATTCACAAGCTCTTACTTTAAACAGATTGCACCCTTTGTCTTCTGCTTGTTATCTATTTTTTATTTTTAACTTGAGGCATGTTGTCATCCACACCTCATTTCAATTACAGGACCCTCTTGTCTTTCTCAACCTGTTAGCATATTGATCTGCCTCACCTCTGGAGCCTCAGATAACTCTTGTAACCTGTGCAGCCCCATTAGGATCATGGCTGCTAAATGAGGTGGGAGAAGAGCAGGGGGAAAAAAGAAGTACTTTTAAATAATACATGCTAGCAGCAGCCGCAGTGCAGGGGGAAAATATCGCCATCTCAGCACTGGCTGCCACTCAGGCGCTTCTTGTCTTCAACAAGGGGGGTTCATTATCCGCCTGTGGGGCCACAAAGTACACAAAGCACTTGCCATAAAATATACACTAGCTCATCTTGTTTGAAGTGGGAGGGTGAGGGGGGTGAGGAGGAGAGCGGCTGTTGTTAGTTGATGCAGACAAGGGTTCAAATGTTTAATGGGACAGGCAAACACACACACATAGACGCACACACTTTGGCATTCCGACAAGCAGCAGCTGCAGTCTTTAGCAGATTTGACGTACCGTGTTATTAAAACTCCCATGATGCATTCCTTTGTATCATTCTCACTCATCCTCCTTGTTCCTGTTACATCAGTTTCTACCGCACTTCAATCCCTGAGTCTCTTTACCGTCTCTCTCATTATTCACTGTTTATCTTTCTATTACCATCTTTCTCTCCACCTCTCATCCTGAAATTATTTACGTAGGAAACATTAGTTCACTCCGTCAGAGCAAAGCAGTGTGAAGATTCCTGTTTGATTTGGCTGTCGTGGCACCTTACATCGCTTCTCCATCTCTGTCTTGCGTTTCTTCCTCCTCTCCTAACTCTTTAATCCTTTTTTCTGTCTTCTCTCTGGCCTTTTCCTCCTCCCTCATTAACTCCCTGCTCTTAGCTCATCAACTCCTTTTGCTTCTGCTTTGCACTTCCTTCCCTCCTGCTCCCTCCCTCGAATCATTATCTCTAACAACCCCCCCCCCCCCGCCCCCGCCCCCCTCCTTTTCCTGTTACCCACCTCCTCCCCTCCTGCACCATCTACCCATCTCTTCACCTCTTTTCAATCTTTCATCCTTCAGCACAGTCATCCTCTCCTCCTTCTCTCTTTCTGGGAAGACTTTGGTTATGCAGTGCAGCTTCCCGAGTGTGAATATAAATTAATGTGAAGTAGAAGAGCAGGTGTACAAATCCATCATCAGTTCCTCAGCTATTCATCATCAGTGTGAGGGGAGCTGTTACATTCAATGTATTATTTTATGATGAAGTGTTTTAGCTCACTGTTCCTCAAACTGCCTTCTTTGCTTCTACTTAGGGAGAGATTTCAAAGGATGCAAATACTTATATTATTAAATAATAGTTTAACCTGTATATTATGTTTTAATTAGTCAATTAATTGTTTTCTCTATGAAATGTCTGAAAATTCAAAGTCAAGTCTTCAGATGGCTTGTTTTTGACTGACCGGCAGTCCAGTTTGCAATGTTTTAAAACAATGAAAAGCTGCAAATCTTCACATTTGAGATAAATGACTTAACAATTATAGATTTTTAGCGGAACATACCGTGTTATTGTTTTACCAATTAATGTCTCAATCAGTGATTGAGAGAAAATATGATTTGTAGATTTACAACCATTCTATACTTTAAGTCTGTTGTGATGTGCATTGCAATTAACAAAAACATTTGTATACATTTGTAATATCCCCTTTACACCGATTGTCATGAATTGGCATCATACCGCTTCCATTCAGACTGCAGCCGAGACAGCGTACTGTATGTATTCCCTCAATTCCAGTTTGTTTATATCTGATACGTACCTAGGAACCTTTTGCAAGCACTGGTTGGCTGTTGTGGCTACTTTGCATCATACCTAAATTTAAAATCTATTCTACGTTCTATAGAAAGATATAGAAAATTAATAATCTAACCACTTAATTTAGCATCGGCTTGAAAGCAAAAACACAATACAACACAATAAATATTTTTTATTTGTAATTGTAAATAAATTCAGGGTCAAGGGGATGATAGATAAATATAAAAATATTATATAATAATATTGTGATTTATATTTTAATATCGCCCAGGCCTACTGCAAAATCAGCACCATATATAATGCACCATATAGCCTACATAGTTTAATATCTGGCTGTGACAACAGATCTTTTTGGCTGCTCTTTCATTCATGGTATAGCTATTACAGTACAGGGCAGCAGTGCTGCTAACCATCCCAGAGTAATGCAAGAGGATTTCCCTTTATTCTACTACTGCCAACAAGGTGTGGCGAGAGGATGAAACATATTTTTACAGGCTGATAGGACATAAATCATTTCAAATTGTCTCAATCACAGTCTTTGTTCTTTTTCTTGTTCTACTAACTGAGTTTATATTTGTATAAGAAACAACATTAAGTGACACAAGCGCAGAGCTTTTAGAAGTCCGAGAGAGTAAGGATTTTTCCTGCTTATCACAAGTGAGAATCAAACCTTACTTGCAGCTCCCCTGCTACTGCATTGTATTCTGGTCTATTGACGCTACTGTAGGAGGAGAATTGACATCTCTGCCTCTGCCACTATGATGAATATCTCTCTGTGCAATTGTTGAATGTGCTGCAAAATGGTGTTGAGAAAGAAGCTCTTCTGCCTTGAATGGCTGTTTTGTCACTGGTTTATCCATCATTTCTGTCATTTTGTTCACTAGTTGCACTTCTGTTGTCATTTAGCTCCAGGTTAGTCATTTCCATTTTATTGTTGTAATTTCCCACCTTCCTTCCGTCCCTGCAGGAAGCTGGATGCCTTCATTTATGATGCTGCGGTGCTGAACTATATGGCCAGAAAGGATGAGGGCTGCAAGGTAGGAAATAGATCTCTTTCATTTTTCGCCCTTCTCACAGTGACCCGTCATACATAGTGGCTGCTATTGTTGAAGTTTCTGTACCCTGCAGCTACTGTGTGCTACAAAACTACAAGATCTTCAGTGTGCACAGTCTCTCCTTGTGGGAACTGCAACATAAGCACAACAAGCACTCCAAATGAGCACTTCTACATCTGCATTAAATAAATTGAATACATTCAATGCGTTTATATTAGTCCCTCATGGCCTGTAGCTAGTTAATATTGTCATTTTTGGACAGCACTGGTGTTGATTTATTTATAAGTTTTCATTTTCAATGGCTCCCACAGCGAGAATGAAAATCACACCCAGTGATCATTTGTAATAAGGTCTGTGGGAGGCCTGAGCTCCCATCAGCCACTGCTGCAGTAATTATTACAACTGATGTGAATCTATATTAATTCCTCCACTGAAACAATATCCCACACTCAAACTCTGGGATTTTCGAGAATGTCGATATTAGAGCTGAGCCAACTGTTTTGCCAATATGCAACACTGACAGTGGACAGAAAATATTACATTAGAAACTAAGCTAATTTCCATTTGCTCTTTGCCATCTGCCTCTTTGAATCTGCCTCTGTCTAGGGATTCATGTGTTTGTGTGTGTGTATGCTAGGATGTATGAATGTTTACATGTTTGTGTATATTCCACAAGGTGATGACCATCGGCTCTGGTAAGGTGTTTGCCACTACAGGCTATGGCATCGCCCTGCACAAGAACTCCCGCTGGAAACGGCCGCTTGACCTCGCTCTGTTGCAACTGGTTGGAGATGGTAAGACAGATGGGTAGATGGGGTGGGGCATTGGAAAGGATGGGGATGACAGTTAAAGCATTTGGATAAGAAGAAATTACCTCAAAAGAGCAGAAAGTCATAAACACAGCTATTTGTCCCTTTGAAAGTCTGTCTAGTCACTAGTGCAATGCAAGTCAAACAACATGGTGAATTGAAAAGGAAGGTTTCAGTCATGAGTCTTAACATCATGGTTGACGAAATAATTTTCAGTGCAGTTTGCAATGTTACATTGCTGAATCGACAGTTACAAGAACACCAATCTGCCAGTCATTAAATACTGTATATCAGTGTTCTACACAGCTGTATTGGGACTGTAATACCTGCAGTTAATGAATGCACTCTCTCAGTTATAAAGGCAAATATTCTTAGAAAGGAGGTCGGGGTTAATGGTCATGTGATTTTCACATCCTGAGATTTTCACGTTATGTGCGCAACAGTCTGCATAAATTAAATATTGGGACTTGTGGGACTTCGACACAAGAGATTGCCGCTCCTGACCTGTGAAAAGCTGATTTCTTTGAACTCTTAGCACAGTTGTTCTGTAACCTTGATCAAGTAGTTCTTGTTGTGTAAACTTCAGACAAACCATCAAAAAAACTACCAGAAAATGCAGATCGGAGTCATTTTTGCAACAGCTATATGGGTCATTTTAAAATGTCATATTGGTTATGCTAGTGGTATCGAGCCAGGACAGTTACTTTAAATCATGACATCGAAAATAAAATGTGGCATTGAAAACAAAACCTGTACTGACAAGATTGTACTGGCACTGTCCTGGCAAACGATTCCACTAAAAAATAAACACAGGTAAAATAAATTATTTCATCTTTTGAATTTGAATGTGTTTTTCAGTGGCAATGTTAAGATTATTTCTTCATGTCACTCGTAGTTTTTTAATTTTGACATTCTGTTGCTGATTTGGTGCGGAGTCTGAGGGGAGGGACAAGGAGCATGTGATTTACATTTACAATAATTTTATTTAACAATCTGCATATTAAGGAGAGAACGTCACTTTTCCTGAACCATCCTTTCGTTCGCTCCGAAGCCTCTTGCATCACCGCAAACATGAGGCAATGGCTTCCATAAGTCCAGTTGGAACTCTCAAACAGCAAGTAAGTCTGTGTCTCTCTGCCTTCTCTTTACATAGAGCCGGGCTGGGTTAAAGTTAACCTTTAACTGACGTTATGCTGGTCTGATAGAGGTCTGCTGGAACAGGCGCTAACCTTAGTTGAGACAGCTAACGTTAAAAAATCAACGGCAGAGATAAACAGACTTAGCTGCAGTTTAAAAGTTAGGTGAACTCCTGAAAGTCATCACTATCTATGTGTCAGAGGATTGTTATTAGGAAACATGCTGAATTTCAATTTGCATGCTATGTTCTTTTTACAAAACCATTAAGACCAAGCTGTTTTGAGGCCATGTCCACACAGGCAATTTTCCAAAAACATTTGAATTGAGTACATTTGGAAATTCTGGTCTTCTTTTGCGATGTGCAAATCACAAATAATTGTCATGTGAGCAGGTATAAGGCTGCTGCTTAAGTTGCCTCTACTTCCCCAGTAGAGGAAATGTAAGTAGATTGTATTGTTCTAGGATTTCAGGAAACCAACTACATATAACACTATTAAGTATAGAAAACATTTGATGAAAGGCATTTTTCACTGATATAAATATAAAAGAGGACAACATTAGTAGTTGGTGTGATATAGGCGGTGGTGGGATAAAAGGGGAGAAAGGACATAGTTCAGAGTTAGGTAGAAATCAAGTTGTGAGGGGTGAGGATGGGTAAGATGTGATGGAATGGGTGAGGTTCTGTCGAGAAATGAAAGAGCAGGAAAGTTTGAAGTGGGAACAGAGGGAGGAAGATCAATACATAAGGTTAAAGGAAGAAAGAGCAGAAAAGAAGAAGAGGGGAGGCGTGATCTCTGTTACAGCTATCAGATATGTCAAAATAAGAACATAGTGAATGACTCAGAAATATAAACATGTTTTTCTCACCAGTGTCATTAAAAATAAAATGTAATGTTCTGTAATTCTTTTTGATCGACTGAAATATTTTGGCAATATGTGCTATCCTCCAATTTTTGAATAGAACAGGAGCAAGAAAGGAGTCACACACAGCCGAGAGAGATGGTAAAAAAAACCTCTTACACAGTGACCTTGACAGGTTCCAGTAATTTGGTTTGCAGAAGTCAGAATGACTCTCAATTTTAAAATAATAACCCCTTCTTTTATATTTTTATAGTTGCAGGAAACGCTTTTAGCTTCTGCTGGCATCAGTGCTCACCAAGAGTAAAAACAATGATAAGTCTGCATTCAAAGAAAAGACCACCAAGATTAGTACCAAATTTATGACCACAAATATTGCAACACTAATGCAAATAAGTTATGAATGACAATCTTGATCTATAAACATTATATCCTGGTTTTATAAAAAGGATTCCTGCTCATCCTGATTTTGAAAAACGTAGTCACATTCTGATACAAAATAATTCAAGTTTAGAGTTCTGGCTACAACAGCAGCGCAATTATGTTACATTAAAAAAGAAGCTTGGGAAATGGGACAAAAAGCAAACTTAAATTGAAGCCATAATTAACACTCAAAAGGAGGTAAAAGATTTTTGAAAACAATGCGAAGATGTATGTAATTTATTAAGGATGGTAAACAACCTACATATTGAAGTAAAATTTTAATTGATATTGGTGTTTGATAATAGTATATAAGTCTTGAGCTCATATATCATGGTTGGGAAGTTGGAAAAGCCAAGTTTTGCAGAATTTCTGAATTTGAATGCAGCAATACTCAGGCAGTTATAAACCAATATTTGATTAATTTACAGAGTGGAGAGAAAGTGAACAAAAATACGGTAATCAGAAACTTTGATAAATTCTTATCATTTATCACTATAAATAAAATTTTACGCTTTTGTTGATACTATTTGGGGTCATTGTGCTCTCTGTGTTGTTCATTCAGAAACTCAACACACCCTGCAACCTCATAACCAACCCCGAAGACATCACATGAATTCATTATCCACAGCGCATGCTCTATGGCCTTCAACAGTTCCTGTAATTGTTCCTCGTAATACATCTCTTTGTTAAAGCGTCGTCAATTCTTTTTTCAGCACGACTGGTCAGTCACCAAATTGGCTCCTCTGGGGAGCAATTTAGCCCGTTTGCAATTAGTGAGCTCGAGAGCTTGAGGTGGAAAATGCCTCAGTGCCGGCAGTGACAGCGGCTCCCAGGGGCAGCGAACACTAGAGGCTGGCGGCACGTGGATACTGCAAATCTTCAGACTGAACTGAAACTGAGGTTTTATTTTTTTCAAATGAGACATCTGGCTTTTTGATAGGGTGATGTCACAGTTACAAAACTGCTGATATGGAAAAATAATACTAATTGTTTTCAAAGGACGGCTCCACCAAATTGCATACTTTACATACTGTTAATTTTAAAGATATTTAGCCCCAAACCTATCTACGGGTCCTTTGGAAAACAGGCTTAAATTAGAGACAGGCCTTTAGTCCAGTTTTTGAAAGTATATTTTTATGTTTTAGTTAGTCATCTCTCTCCTGTCTAATTCAGTATGTACAACTCATGTTAAACTCACCATTCTGCTGCTCTGTTCTTGTTAATAGAAATACTGATCTCATTCAAAAATCTGTGTTGTGCTGTTGAAAGATAACACTTCCACATCAAAAGCCTTCCACTTAACTTAAATGGCAGAGCACTTCCTTTTCCTGGTAGTTTTTTCTTATGGGATTTCTGCAGGAAGTGTCAGTTTCATTTAACAGAAAGGAAAGAACGGCATAGTAGATGAGGGATTTATTGGCTAAGAAAAACATTTTTTTGTTTTGTTAGTAAGATAAAATAGTAGCAGAGTGGTGAGTTTTTAGCTGGCCGACTGTCCTTGATGCCAGCTTTTTTATTTAATATTTTTGTTGTATGTATGTTTTCCTTTAGTTAACAGCTGTAAAAGTACTGCCTGCCTGTTGAACTCTCTTGTTGGAGTGCTACTGAACCCGCATTTGCTAAAACATAATAGACAAAGATGCACAGCAGTAATTTTGATAAAGGAAACCTTTTCAAGATTAAGGCAGCTGTGTTTCATGTCCCACTTTGCTCCAACAGACTTCCAAGAAATAAACCGTCTTCAAAGTGATGCTGCAAGGGGCCGCGATGCAGGAATATGTACTGATACAACTGCTGCGCCTGGGCTCAACTCCCAAGGCACCGCATATCCAAAGTTCGCCTCCGCTCCACTACTCCTTTGTGTCACTCACATTGATTCATGCTGGCTGAGCAAAGCCAATAAAAATACCTCACACACAAAAGAATGATTAAAAGAAAATGTGAATGCAAACAGCTTTTGGAACTGTGGGTGGAACATACTTAGCAGCATTGTACCCTCAGGAAATTGATTTCTTTTTTTCTTTTTGTTCAGATGGCTTTGAGTCTTTAGAGACCCGGATGTTGATTTTAACTTTATAGACTGAGATTAGAGCCACAGATATTTCTCTAAACCTTCAATTTTGTTTTTATGTTTTGTCCACAGATCATTTGGGATCAACATTCAAAAACAAATGAACAAACCCTAGAAATGGCAGGAATTTCCCTTTAGAAACACTATTCCTGACTCATGGCACTACTTTAATTTTTATTATACTTTTATTAACATTTACACATTATTTCACACAATAAAGATTAATAAAACATTAACTTCCACTTGCTCATTTGATATAGATATTAGTATTTAGTCATCCTGGTCGACTCCAGTCTCCTAAATTTATTTTTTTTGGAAGAAGAGAGGGAAGAGTAGAAGAAGTTGAAATGGTTCTGGCAGTTGGACAAAATATTCTGGCACTGGCTTGTTGGAAGTTTGATAACCCTCATAACTCCAAGTGCCGTTCAGAAAAGACCCTTTAAATGTTTTTGTAATCCATCTCCATAGAGATTTAATAGACTTCACCACCTCCCAGACACAAACGCACCACTCCTCCCATCTCTCCCACCCTGAAAACATGCGCTGTCTCTCAGGATGGTTGTCCAATCTGTATTTGTGCTTTTACAGGTCGGCTGACAAAAAACACTTTCAGATTTTTGCAAAACAATTTCTTTTAGAGATAGAGGAACTCAACAATCACACAATGACATGAACAGCTGCAGCTCATATAATTTACTTCTGTCACTCACAAAAAAAAGTGGTTACAGTAACTTTAAATTAGTTATTGTGTTTCCCTTCCGTTCAGTATTTCTCTCCCCGCAAAGTTTACTTTTGCTTCATCGACAGTTATTCAGATACTGAATATTTTTTGCTGTTGACAGTGTATCTGAGAATAAAATGTAATCCGATCTAAACAACACAAAAAGCCTACATAAAATATGAAATTCAACAACTCTGAAAAATGATGAAGACCCAGAGCATGTATATATAATCATTACTAATATTTGTAGATTGCACATCTTGCTTGATACAACATATCTGGAATGAAATTGAAATAAAGACTACACCTTACTGGAAGTGATGCTCCATTTGTGACAACATTTACAGGGACTTCAAAATCATGTCTTTTTCTTTTTTGCTGATGATGTAGTTATTTTAGCTTGAGCAGGCTGTGACCTCATGCACTGGGGTGGTTTCTGGCCAAGTATGGCTTGAATTGGGCAGTAGAGATGAGTGCCAGTCTAGGGCTAGTCTAGACTGACCCCTTTAGGCTGGGAAGCAATTAAGTGCCACAAGTGAAGCAGTGCAGATTATTGGGGTCTTATTCACAAAATGGAAATTGACAGGCTGGTTGTTATGGCTTAAGCAGTGATGATCAGTCTTAGTATTGAGAGCTATTTGCATCAGGGTTTTGTGCCGAATGCCCAAAGCTCTCTTGTATTGCCAATTAACAATCAGAAAGGTTGTGGTTTTGTGTTCAGTTTATTCATCAGTTAAATATTTTGAGTGATTGTAACTCCTAACTTTTTGACAGCAAGCTCTGTAGGGGGTATATAGGGGTCTAAGCTGGTTAAAGATCTTGGTCATGATTTGCAGTGGTACAGCAATGCGCTATTATTGCCTTTTTGGGAGTGGGACAGGTAGTTTTAATCTTCTGAACAAATTACCTTTTTTTAATCTTCTGGTGAGGACTGTTCAAAATGAAGATGGATTGAAATGTCAACCGTATGTCTGGGTCTGGGTAAGAAGCTCAGACAGAGTGCAAAAGCTTCTCATTTGCACTGAGAAGAGACAGTTTAGATGCTTCTGGTATCTGGTTAGGGTGCCTTCTGTTTGCCTCCTTGTGGAGTTATTCCAGGTGATGCCATCATTCAAACCCCTTGAGGCAAAATTGTGATTGGGTATAATGGGCTATATAAATGAAATTCACCTGACTTGACCATATGTATAAAACTGCTCCAGGTCATAATATCCTTTTCCTTAATGCTTTTTCTGCACAGAGTGGATAAAGGAGACATTATTTAAAATGCCACTAAGAGAATTGAAGATTGGGGGCTTTAAATCCTCACTACTGACAAATCTAAAGGGAGACAGGCACATTTTCTAGGTTAGCATAGAACTGAATGAAACTGAACTGAATTGTTCCCAGATCACTACTAAATTGTCAAACAATCAACACAATGAAAACAGATTTTAATTATAAGCACTGACATTCCCTCCCTCTGTGTTTGCATGTCTGCTCCTTTCATTTGTGCAGACGATTCCCCCTCTTTACACTGTGGCATTTTCCTCCTTGGAGCAGGTGAGAGAGGATACAGCTGAAATTCTGCCAGTCTGTCAGCTCTTTGTGGGGAAATTTATCCCAAAGAGCAGCTTTATGCAGCACTGACTGCCATGATTAACGTATTTACAGGGAGATAAAGGGAGCAAGTCGGAGAGCCGGACAGGGAGAGAGAAATCAGCTGAGAATTCATTGAAACTCGATGAATTAGATTATGGGAGTGAGCCGCGAACCGAATGAATATGGTATTTACATGGAGCAGGGTAACAAAAGGCAGGGTCGATCGAGTTGAGCCCAGTTTAATTCAGCTGTCAAGGAAGGTTTGAATTCCCATACATGACTGTTGGGGAAGTGAAATGTGGCACACAGCAATTCATGTTAGAGTGAGATTTGTGTTTTATTTGAGCGGATTTGACGTTTCAGTCAACATGTCTGATTCATAGTGGTCTAATCCATGTGGGGGGGCTTTACAGAGGGGTTTCCAGACAGCGTTAATTAACCCAGAGGTCGATTAATATTGCAACTCTGAGCATTGGGAATTGGAGCTTCCTTTAACTGGGACATCTTCAGTGTGTACAGTCACAGAGTATGTGCATGACGGTGTGTGTGAGCTAGTATTAATAGACCTCTGCGACAGGGTCGGTGCATATCTGTCTACATAAGTATCTCTGTACATTTGATCCTGCTTTTTCTTCCCACTGCCTCATTCTTTGTGATTAATGCATTAATGGCCAGTGCTGAGAGTCCCGCTGCACTGGAGCAGATGTGTGTGCATGATGCTGACAGTTTGTGTTGGAAGTGCAATGTCTGTGTGCGTTTCCCCCTTTCATCTCCCATACTCTTGTCGCGTCGCTCTGCCCTCGAATACCAGGCCATTTCACAACTTGCTTCAAAGGGCTTCTCTCACTTCCAGTCGCTGCCTGTAATTCCCAGTTTCTCTTTTCAATCTCATAACTTCCTCTGCAAATGGCCTCTAATTCTTTCTCATGCAACTTTCTTTAGCCTCTCCTGTGTGTGAAAATTTTTAATTTTCCATTCATATTTTATATTTCTGTGCTTGTAATTAGTTACATCTGTAAAAAAAAAAATGTTTATTGCTTGTAATTTGAAATTTGTACTGATACCCTGCACTTTTCATTTCACTATATGCATACCACATATACAAGACACCTTAGGCACAAAAATTCCCTTTTATCTGATCTCATCTTTATGTTATTTTTCTTGTTTGGATCTCTCTCATCAGTCTCATTTTCTCCTCTTTTTTAAATGAATACAAACAATGTTTTCACTCTCTCCTCTCATTTCTCTTTTCTGCGCTGCATTTCATCATATGTCCCTCTCTTTTTTGGTACAACACAATAGACTCCATTCCTCCTCTTTCTCCTTTGTCTCTCTTCACCTCTTTAGCTTTCCTCCTCTTGCTTCTTTCTTCTCTCTTGGGGAATCTAACACCTTGCTCTCATAACAAAAGTCACTTTTTGTTGAAAATCTTTTTTTTTTCCTAGTACAGTTTTATCTCCTTCTCTCCATTGTCATTTCCTTCCCTAATCCCTCATTTTTCTTATATTTTGCCCACTCCTCACCTCATCATCTTGCTATCTCTTTCCTATGAACCTTAAGTGGGGTTTTGTCTTCCATATTTCTTATCTTGTTATTTAATTTTCTTTCAGCTTCTCCTCTTTTTGACTCTCCCTCTATCTTTTTTTCTTGCAGATGAGATTGATATGTTGGAGCGTCTCTGGCTGTCAGGTATCTGCCACAATGATAAGATCGAGGTATGACGCCTTATACCTTTTCTCCGCCTTTCTTCAGCCTCTGCCCCATTTACAGAATGTACTAAATGTAGTCTAACCTCAATCCTGGTCAGCTGGCCAGTAATGTATTAAGTCAGATATCCAACCTATTCATACTGTAACCTATTAGACTAGAAGCAGGCACTGTCTTAAGAACGTTTAGGCATTTTTGCTGGTATTCCTGCTGGTAAATACCCAGGTATCACCAAAATCGTTCTCTTATTTACCTGTGATTACCATATATACTCTGAAAAAAATAATTAAGACATCACATCACTGAATTTAACTTTAAAATGATAGTTTTTTTAGTGTATGAAAACAATTTTCCAGGTCATAGTAACCTTAGTTGTGTGTTATTTTTGACGAGATAATTTTATCCTGCTTGTCTGACAACTGATCACCTTAAACCTCACTCATAATACTGATATTGTGGAATGGATGGTTTTCCCAATCTTAAAGCTACTTGATGGAAAACTAAGTGGAAAAACTGTATATGGTTAAAGTCGTCACAGAATCTAGAGTTGCTGATTCTCTCCACACTCATCAGTTAATGTAGTTTTGTTTAGATTTGTAAACACAAGCAACTGCTGCCTCTAAGTTTTGTGGTTGCTTCCTGTAGATGGTGTGTATGACAATCACGCACCTAACTAAACTGCACTACAGGTCTCACAGACAAGGGCTAAGAGTCATTCGGGGATGCATGTGTGGTTATTTGCTGATTTTATTGTTGTCACTTAGACAAACAAACCAAACTTAACACACAAAATGCATGTGCACACACATTGGGTGCAAATGGCCCCATGGGAACCAAAACCTTTGAAAAAAAAATTGACTCAAGAGTGAATGCAGCCTGGCTGTAGATGAGAGCTATGCATGTTGAAACTGAATAAATTAAATTGCCTGAAATGCTCTTTGTTTGATGCGAACCAGATATTTTGTGGTGACTGACATGTTTTGGTCTTTGCATCAGTGTTCTGAGCGCAGGGGCTCTAAAATATCACAGATGGCTGCTCTGACATGCAGTGACAGCAAAGGATTCTCTATTGTACTGCTGGTTGTAATTAACTTTTTATCTGCTGTCTGGGAGACAAATTGGCCCTCGTTAGTAATAAATGCACTCTCCTGTCTCATTCATGTCCCTCCTTTCTTATTTGCTTTACTTTTACTTCTTCTACCCTTTACTTTACCGCTGCCTTTTCCTCTGCTCTCACCTCCTATAACGTTTCCCATTCCTCTCCTTCCCTCCTGTCTTCCCCCATATATCCATTCACCCCTCCAGGTGATGAGCAGTAAACTGGACATAGACAACATGGCAGGGGTCTTCTACATGCTGCTGGTGGCCATGGGCCTCAGCCTCCTGGTATTTGCCTGGGAACATCTGGTGTACTGGAAACTACGCCACTGTGTGAAGCGATCTGGCGGGATGGATTTCCTTTTGGCTCTCAGCAGGGTGAGAGAAGGCAGCAAAGACCCCAGTACATCTCAAGAAGCATCCTGGTTTATTGGCTTACAATTAGATAACACATCAAAGAACATATGCGAAACACATATTACTAGATTTGAATATTTAGATTTGATCTAACCAACCACAAGAGGTTCATGCATGTAGATGTAATAAAGTGTGTTAAATATTGTAAAACTTAAAAAGAAATGAGAGAAGACAAGACAAATACAACTTATACATTTAAATGTCTCTCGCTTTCTCTGTTTTCTCCTTAGAAAATCTATCAAAAATATGTTTTCTTACATGCAGTCAACAAGGCTGTCAACATGATGTGAAGTACAATTGTAGAATTGACTCATCTGCATTACAGCAGAAACTGCTGCCAAATGTGAACCTACATAGTAACAGCATAGGCAGTCAGAACTGAATGGGGCTAAGGAGTGAGCCTTGGGACACATCACAAGAATTATTGCTTAATATTACCTGTTATGCAAGATGTAACTGGAAATTTGGCCCAAGAAATTAACCTAACCTCTCGTTCAAGAACCTGTAGCTTTATTGAATGTAGAAATTAGTTCAGGAGGTGCAAGAATATGTTCTGGTAAACCATGTCTATCTGCTATCTTTCTTGTTGGGGTGGATCCTCGCTTGCAAGAGTTCAAATTAGAAAATACATCACTTAGAGAATCGGATGCTTTTGCTTAACCACCGAAGTGGTGTGCAGTTTGTGTTGGGTGTATTTATCCTCACAACAATTGAAAGAATAGCTGAGACACATTCAAACAAAAGGTACGAATGTTATTTTTCTCTACAAAAACGTTTAAAAGTTCTTCCATGTGGTGAAAGAACTTAGACTCTGAGGAGTGAAAGTTCATTACAACCAAATACTACAGCAGCCGATCTCACTGATTTGCACGCCCTTAATCTCAGAGGGTAGAACTAATCAGTGAAATAACCTGCAGATTCATAATGCAGGGCTTGAGGAACCTTGTTAAACAGTTTATGAAGGAGCAGATATTAGGATAGACTGAAAGGTGTAGACACTTTTAGGATCTCCTGTTCCCTGTATAGAAGATATCTTACTGATTGCAGCCATGAGGTCCATTTCACTCAGGAAAAGAAGGAATAGATGAAGGAAGGTTAATGTACCATTTTCAGATACAATCAAGATATGGATTGCACAAAAGTAGGTACTCAATATTGGTTCTTGTTTCTGGCACAAGGAGGTAGATCCAAATCCTTGGCATCATACAAAGGGGAGACCAAAGGTCCCGAGGCAGAGTGATCATTTAGTTGTCGCACAGCTATTTTATTTTAGAGACAATACAGTTTCTGTGAGTTCTGCTTGGAGATGAATGCTTTGATTGGGGAGGGAAAGTAAGAAGAAGTGGGAAGGTAGGGGAGGATAGAAACTTTGAGATAAGAAGAGAAGAGAGCCGGCTGAGGAGACAGCAGTGCGTTTGGATGGTAGAGGTACTGGAGTGTAGCAGGTGTTGCAGAGAGGCCAGAATAAGGTGAAGGAGGGAAAGAAACAACAGGGACAGAAAGGGGGATGGAGGAAGGAGGAGAGGTGGAGGGGAGGAGAGGACAGATTGTTGGAGTGGAAAACAGGCTTCACAGAGCACTAGGGAGATATTCTTGTCTGTCAGTAGACACTGTGATGGAATGCTTGGCGTCTAAGTACCGCTGGTGTAAGGGTGACACCACTATGTTGGAATGACAAAAGGTTGTGATTTATTACCTCCTCCTGCCTGACAAAGCATAGAAAATGGCTAATTTATGCACAGCAGAAGAGTGTTCTAATTGCACTGTAAAATGGAGAGAGAGGACATAACATTTTAGCTTTTACCACTGATGTTCTCTTTCCAATATATGAGACTACTCTAGTCTTACTAAATCAAAATTTCATTTTACCTGCAAAAACAGAATTATTACTTTTGCACATAAAATATCATAAATTCAAACTGTGCACTGTATACCTCAGCTAAGAGACATAAAGCACACTCTAGTGTTTCTAACTCTTTTGAGGGGTGGCAAAGTTTAGAAATGAATACAGTAAATACAATTAGATAAAGAGGAATAATGGAAAGGAAAGTTAAAGTTACACTGACATTGACAGTGTACATCGAGAATAAAGTGGGAAGATAATGGAAATTCAATTCAAATTAATAGTATGCTTCCAAGTCAATTAAATAAAAATTTTAATATTCATTGAGCAGAAAGATTCTGTCATTCTGCCGTAGCGATGTATGAATGTGTGTGGTTGAGTGGTGGTCACTGTGAGGGTTGTTCAATTCCCCCACAGGCCTGAATGTTTGGCCTGAGCCCAGCACAGGCCAGTTCATTCAAGCCTAGCCAGAGTTACAGCATCAACATTCGTTCAGCCAAAACCAACATTTTAATATGAAAATACATTTTGTCTTTGAGTGTTTTTTGACTCACGAAGCTACACACATATGCTGGAAGATTGTTCATGATGAACTGGTTGATAACTTCATGCAAAACATCTGTGAAGCACTACATAACAAGTGAACCAGTTGTAAATATCATGGTAACACAATCTTTAAATCTCAATGAAAAGGAAACGTTAAATGTAAATGTATAATGATAAACCAGCAAGAAATTGCTAAATGCCTAGCTAACAAAGTGGCAATTTTCCTTTTTTTTATTCAGTTTAATTTCTGATGGATGGATGTATATAGTACTGTATTAATCTCAATAGAAAGTGGTGGTATTGGAGCAGCAAAGTCACAAAAATCAAAAAACAAATAAACAAATCAGATAAGGAAAATTGACCCGTTGCTAAGCCACGCCCCAAATACACAGCCAGCCAATCACAGCGCAGTATAGGACTCACTCTATCTGAGGTCCAACACTTTCATGGCTGTGCTCCATTTAATTGTTTGCAAAAGGAGTCGTTTTCTAGCTTTTTTAATTTTTTTTGCTGAATTTTTCCAAGATATGGTCAAACGCTGTTCCAGGGGCTCTTGTAATAGTTACAGTCACTACCAAGAGAGCTTGCAAGGAGAAGTACATTTTATTCCCTTTCCAAAACCTAAAACAAATCCAGAAAATGTAGGCTTTGGATTGTACTTAATGTGATGTTAGTTAGCTAACGCTACATAATTTACTACTGAATGTAACGTAAAATAGCCCTCCTGCTTTTGCTTTTTAATGATTGTAATAGTGAATATAGACCTAACCAGCTTTACTGGAACAGTGTTAATCCTTAATATCGTTGTCCTTTGTCTCATTCATCAGGTGATGTGTTTCTCAGATTGCTTTTTCCAAAAAAATTGACAATAGTTCTCCAGGGAGTGCAGCAATAGACAGTGGTCCAACAGGTCTGACAGTTTGTCAGATTTAGCAACAGTAACTAAGTGGGGTGTGGCTTAGCAAAGGGTCAATTAAGAAAACTGGTAAGAAACAAAATACAACAAAAATTTTAAACATAAATAGGAAACAATAACAACTATTTAATATTTGTCCCGTTAAAAACCACCAGGTCCCTGTCACCGCTCAACTGTGGTAATGTTTACTTTTACCTACTAGGAAATCCCTCACCTAACACAGCCCAGGCTTGTCTCCTCCTCAATTTGACTCCTGGTTGATTTTCCAGGAAATCAATTGGCTGTGACTGCAAGCGCTTCAGAGCCTCTTGCCTTCTGTACCGTATACACAGCAACAACAGCACAGCTAACGAGATGGAGTCCGGTAAAACCAAAAGTCGACTTTCTCCCAGCATAACACAGACCACCAACACAAACTCCACATTGGGTTAAATACCAATAACAAAGTTTTATGTGCTGGAGCCCATCAGGTCAAACAAGAATCAGATCGACATCAGGTGAAAACACCGTAAACATCAGAAAGGTTTGACTTACCAAGAGACCTCTGCTTTGTTTTGAAATTGACAAAACCGACTCAGAGTTGGCTTCCATCCTGTTGGACAGGTAAACTAACATTTCTGTAAAGCATGTTAATATGTTCTGGTTTTGTGTTTTAGCTGGCTCAAGTTAGATAACGTTAGATGGCCGTCTAACGTGACCAGTTGCTACAGTTATCCAGTTCAAAATACTGTAGCACTGTCAAAATACTGGCTTTACACATTACTTCACAACCTAACACGATCCACAAGTTCTCTATAGGATTCAAGTCAGGTAAGAAAGTGGGCCAGGTCATTATTTGGGCGTCTTTGTGGCCCTTGCTGGCTAGCCAAGCAGTGGAGTACCTGGAGCCATGTAATGGAGCATTATCCTGCATAACGATCATGGCCTTCTTGAATGCTGAAGGCTTTTTCCTCTACCACTGCTTGAAGAAAGTATCTTCCAGAAACTGGCAGTAGGTTTGGTAGTTGAGTTTCAGTCCATCTTTAACCCGAAAATGTGCAAATAATCATCCTTAATGATAGCAGCCTATACCAGTAGCTCTCCTTCACCTTGCTGGCGCCTAAGTTGAAGTGGCGCCCTGTGTCCCTCAGCGATCCAGCCACAGGCCTATTCTTCTGGTCCATCAAGAGCCACTCTCATTTCATCTGTCCATAAAACCTGAAAAATATGTTTTGAGGAATTTCTTTGCCCACTTATTATGCTTCAACTTGTGAATCTTATTCAGTGGTGGTCGTTTTTGAAGCCTTCCTGACCTTAGCCATGTCTCTGAGCACTCCGGCTAGGTTGCAGTTCTGGAATATGGTGGCACTGGTGGAATATGGATTTCTGGTAGCTTCACATTTAAATCTTAATTTGCGTCTTTTCTTCTCCATGCCCTTTCTGCACCATTAAAAAACTATTAAACTATTAAATGTTTGATTGTCCAGTTTTCACACCTCAAAAATTTTGAGTGCTGCCCATTTGACCTGAGGTAATGAAGCTGCCTAATAATCATGTACACTTTGATATAAGGTGGTTCACTTTCGTTAGCACTTTTGTTTGCTAATGTTATGTGTTTATGTTAAATAAATTACTATTGACTCATCTGTTAGTATTAGATATTTAATTTTTTTTAATTATTTATTATTAGCTTCAAAAACCAGTCAGGCTATAATATTTAATGATTTATAGTAACTTTTAATTTAGTCTCGAAGTCTACCCGAACCTGCGGTATGCATGTAAAAATGTGCTTAAACCCCTACGTGAATTTGTGAAGTTTGTCAGATTCAGTTAGGCAATGGTCAGTTTAAAGACATCTAGGTCTTGTGTGCACTGCCTGAAGTGCCAATTACTTAATACACTTACTCTTTTAATGATAATTCATATGGACCATGTGGGTGAAAATCCATTGAGTTCCCTTCATTTTCTGATATCTCGATATCCCCTGATGGGCTTCCCTGCAAGCCCTCTGGAGTGCAGTTTCGTCTCTCTTCATACATTCAGAGCATACCAGCATATTTTCTCGCATGAGCAGACTCTACTCTCATCTGTAGCATTCCTTATTCTAAGAATAAAACATCAATTCTATGCAAAGGGCACTCCCAAGACCAGTTACCTTCTATCTCCCAAGCTATATGCTATGCTTGCTTTAAAGCCTCTGCAGCTGGCCTCTGTGACTTGCTTTAACCCAATCAGTGACTCACCCAAGTTTCAATTTCACAGTGTGCTGCGCCCCATGCTCTGGGGACTGTGATAGCACTTCTGCCGCTGTGGCTGCTGATTCATGTGTCCGGAAGGAACATTATTACAGTCTCTCCATCAGATCTGTGTCCGGTGGAGAACAGAGATTTACAGGAGTCATTAAGATGTGACAGATATCAATGGATATTATGAATCATCTGCATGTATGAAGAATAATAGAGTCTTTGTGATTTACACGGCTCTCCTCAGTACTACTAATTGAGTCCCATCTATCTACAGAGAAGCATAAATATACAAAGGTAGGGGAAAAAGTGCATCCCGGCACAGTAGAGATTGAGATGCTCATCTAACACGATTTTAGAATTAATGTATTCTGCTTGGGGTTTAAAATTTAAAAAGATGTCACGAGAAGCTAGTAATTTCCTTGTATTTCTGACTCTTTCTTTCATGTTTTATTCATATCAAACATTGTTGAATGTTACTGCTAAGATGAAAAAAGCCAGACTGGTTCTCACCATGCACATTTGGAGCACTGATTAAAACCAAGTGAGAATGATCTTATTTAAACTCAAGTGGCAAAACATAACAGCTCTAAATCATTTGAAAATTAGTCTCTGTCCTTACATGTCCTAGTCAGAAACAACTACAGGAACATTTTTTTTTAATTTTCTATAAATGAGAAGATTAATCTTGACACCAAATAAACAGTAGTAACTTCTACATTAGGTACAGATTTGGACTGACGCCCAAATTCAACTTTTTCCTTCACTACAAAAATTTCACTTTCAAGGCGTTTTTGGCTCTTAGGCATTACTAAATAAATAAAATACTATCTGTAAGTAAAGGAAAATTAATTTGCACTGTATTTTTTAGATCAGCTTTAACTGTTTTATTCTTGTTCTTGAAATTTTAATAACTTCAATTCTCATTTCAAGAAGACTCTTCAAGAGTAGATTGCTATTGGGAATACATTGAAATATTCATACTGCACTAGCAGATAGCTTGTCAATGGTTTAAGAAAAGAAAATTGCTTTTAGGAAAGTATTTCTCTACACCCACACCAGTGAAGAATAGTGCAGCCCACCCTATACTTTTAGAAACTGGAATTAGGTCTGTTTTTTGTTGCCACTAAAATCTCTAACCTTGCGTGATGGGAGAAACTTAGTTTAGCTAAAAACAAATACAATAACAAAATACGTTCTGAGGCTTTTGTTAACTCCCGTTGTTTTGCCTTCTCTCCAGGCGATTTATACTTCTTGTGCATACCTCCATCTACAATTATTTTTCACAGTGTTTTTGGAGAAAACTCAGTCCTGTTCCAGCTGAGAGATGCTTTGTTTGCTGAAAGCTTTATTTGGTTTGATAGTGTGAAAAATTGACTCTCCAAGAAGCTTGCTAAACTCAGTCCAAAGTTTCCTCAAAATGCTTATCAATATTTAATGGTCAGTACTCCCTGTTGTCTTCCTTTATAGAAGATGTGGTGACACAGAGAACCTAAGGTAGAGGGGAAATCCCCTAAGGCGATTTCCCAGCATGCTGAGAGAGGGGGGGGGGATTATTTTCTTCTTTTCAAAATGCTTTTGTGAAACGTGTTGAGCCGACAAACTTACACAGTCAGTGGTTGTGCAATACACTGACTAAAGATAAAGGAAAACAGGCTGGAGAGAGGATAAATAATAATACATAAATTGTAGCCCTGACAAATGTATAGCCTCTCTTGATACGGCAACCTTTCTACAGTTTTAAGTGGATCCTCTGTGAGGTATTTATAGTAGCTGACTTGATATTTTTTCACCAAGCTATGCTATTAGAATGACTCCAAATATTGCCATTACCCTGTACATTTACAGCTACTGAATAAATCAGTTTTACTTAAAATGCTATTGTTTGCGTCTGTACAGTAGTACAATATTATAACTACAAGCTCTTTTCTTCAAATAAACTAACAAGGTAAACCAAGCCTGTTTAGACAGCTTAGTAATTTGTGGTAATATACAGTTGTTTTACCGTTGCTTATTGTTATTGCTCCTTTTTTTATTGTTACTAATAGAAGGGGAGTCAGAAAAAAAATATTCTAGATTTTAACATGGATGGAAATTCCCTTTAAAACAAAAAATACCATTTGCGTCTCAAACATGCTGTAGTTCACTGTCGGGTTGTTGTTGTTGTTTTTTACATATTTAAAGGGAGTTTGGTACATTGGTAGCAGCTTTTTGTGCTTTCTCTTTCTCTCTCTAACCTGTCAATTTCTTAAGATTTTGTTTTTAATTTAATCTTGTGGTCAGTGTCTCTTTGTAGGAATCATAACAAAATCAGTGAAAGTGAGAGCCTTTAAAGGGATCTGCTACTTTCAAAAGATCTCGATATTTTTGACAAAATTGGTAAAGGAATAATGACACTTATATGTTGTTTTTCATAAAGTTTTCTGAAGATACCTTTCATATTGTTTGCGTAAGTTTCAGATCTAAACTGCTCTATATGTTTCAAAATTGGGAATATTGGTCTTTCTGTATCTCTTACACACACACACACAGTTCATCCTTATCATACTTGGCAGCCCGCTGGTCTAATTACAATCTCTTTTTTATCTCTCCACCCAGGGGATGTACAGTTGCTGCCAGTTTGAGGATGAGACAGCACCAGGAGTCAGAAAAGGCTCTTTGACCCAGTACCACACCATGACCACCATGCCTACGGCAGCTCAACAACACCTGGTTACAGCCACAATAAATAACACCACTGCCATTGCCATGGTGCAACAACAGCAGCAGCAGAAGCACCACCAACAACAGCAACAAGGGCAGACCTACACCACAATGCTACCCGGATCGCCGCCAACTACAGGACACTCAGCAATGGCTCTCGGACCCTCAAACAGCCCCTTACTTGAAGGTCCCATGCCCTGCTCCACCTTCTTGCCTCGGCATGACCGCAGACTTGCTGTGGTCGATCGCTGGAATAGGCCAAAGCCAGAGAAAGTCATGAGTGGAGGCAGTGGTGGAGGAGTGGGTGTTGGGGGGATAGCAGGAGGAATCAGTGAACTCCAGGCCCAGCAGCAGTATCATCAGAACCTTGGACAGCACTGGAACCTGCAAGGAGGAGTTACAGGTGGAGCAGGGGGGGGAGGTGACACAGGGCTAGATGAATATAAGCGCTACTATGGTCCTATTGATCCAGAGGGTCTAGGAGCAAATTCGGACCAACAGGCAGGGGGCTCCCAGCAGACTCCCAAAGCTAATCCTCGAGGCCCCAAAGCGTCAGGGATACCACGTCAGCCTCCTAAAGGCCCCCAACAAGGCCCAGGGCACTTAATCTCCAAGCCACCTCCACCGATTCCATCTTCCCCACGACGACCTCCTTTCTGGCGACGAGGAAGCCTCGTTCAGGCAAGGAGAAAAAGCTCAGGAGGTCCCCTGTATGAGAATATACTCCCTCTGGGGAGGCGAGGAGGTGGGAGGTATGGAGCAAGTGATGGAGGTGGAAGAAGAGGGCGACGTCCACCTCCTCCTCCTCTGCCTGTCCCCCTTTCTTCCCCAACACACACCCCTACCACTCCCTCCTCCCCATGCCGTTTCTACTCCTCCTGCTCCAGTGCCTCGTCCTCCTCCACTTCCTCTACATCATCCTCAGCCTCTTCTTCATCCTCTGTGTCGCTCTCTAGGTCACATTCACCCTCCTCTAGCTCCAGTGACAGCTCCTACAACTCCTCACTCAGTTTCCGGTATCGAGCAGGCGACCGGGATTTTATGGTGGATGACGATTATGACTCAGATCTGCTTACAGAGGAGTCCAGCCTCCTCCTTGGGTCACGGAGGAAAATTCGTTCACGTCGAATGTCATCGCGCTCACTGCCATGCAGCCCTCCACCTCCACCAATCCCACCCCGGAAGCCACGCCCTCAGAGAGATTATGGCAGAGAGAGAACAGGAAGCCAGCTGGCACAATTACAAGAGTGGTGGGCATCGTGGGGTGACAGAGAGCGTGGAAGGGGAGGAGCAACAAGCCGGGGTGATGGAGGAGTGGGTAGAGAGGAGAAGAGGCACCACAAAGAGAGGGACCATGAGAGAAAGAGGAGGAAGAAAGGCCGGAAGAAGAAGAAGAGGGAGGAGAGGGAGAGAGAAAGGGAGCGAAAGCGGCGCAAAACAAAGAAGAAGAAGAAAAAAGATGATAAAATGAGGAGGAGAGAGAGAAAGAGGTCAGAGCAGGAGGGAGGAGATGCTGAAAAAAGAGAAGAACTCAAATCAGGTACACCAGACTACCCATCATACCCACCCCTGAGACGGGAGTCTTTTCGGAAAAAGAGTGAAAGCTCAATCAGAAGTTATGGATGGAACATTCCAGGCGAAGATGAGAGGAAGGAAAGAGACGAGAAAGACAGGGATGATGGGGAAGACAGCAGAGGAAAAGAAAGACACCACAGGCGAAGGAACAGCAAACACTATCAAAGCTCTAGCAGTAAGCCTTCTTCATCTGTTAAGTTCTGGGGAGGGGGCAACCCATCCTCTGACACCATTCCATCTGCCTTTCTGCCCTTGTTGCCTGTCACCTCTAAAAGGAGGAAGAGTAAAAGTTCAGACAGGGATGCTGTAGGAAAGGAAGGAGAGAGGAGACCATTGCTGGGACGGAACGGAAGAGCTGAGATGCACTCCAAGGAGGGGTTGTCCTTCCACGAGTGGGAGTCCGAAGTAGAGCAAGAGGAAGAAGATTCTGAGCTGGAGAGGAGGAAAGCAGAGCGTGGAAAGAGGCGTGGAGGAACAAGGACAATGTCCGATGAGGAGCGGGAACGCGATAAAGTAGTTGGGATATATTCTGATGATGATGGTTCTTCAGGAGAGTTTGGGAAATTTGAGAGGTACTGGGAGGATCATGAAGGCAGGGCAGTTGGTGGGATTGGAGGGGGAGGTTGGTTTTTTAGCACCTACCCCTCCAGGGATAAAGTTGGCAGCATCAACAGTAGAGATGACCTGTTCCTGGAGCGAGGAGAGAGGTGGGGGACAGCAGAAAGTGGATGGGGGTCTGGTGGACGGGGTGGTGGAGGTGGAGGAGATGGAGGAGACAGAGGGTGGGGATCAGGGTCACACTGGCCCCCGCCTCCTCTCACGCCACCACCTCCTCGACGATACTGGTCAGTGGACAAGCTCCACATACAAGATGAGAAGAAGAGTAAACGCAAGTCAAAGGACAAGGGAAGGGGGCATGCAGCTTGTTCCTCCTGTCATTCCCCCCGACACCATCCGCACTCCCATTCCTCCAAATGGGCTCGCATAAGTTCGCGAAGCCAGGAAGAGCTGTACCACCACTGTCAGAGTTTCGGTGGTCCCCTGAAGTCCAAACATGACTCATCATCGTCCTCCAAACCTGATCGTTCACAAAATCCATCCAAATCTGGCAGTCAGTCAAACCTCAGTATCCAGCAGCGGACACAGAGAACAGATAGGGATCGAGATCGAGGACGGCAACCATCCCCACCTCCGACACTCATACCTAATTTGCCTCCCCCCCTACCTGCCCTTCCAGCTCCTCCAACCACATCTCATCCTATCCACGTTCCTCCTACCTCTTCCTCTTCTGTATCTTCTCCCTCTGTTGTCTCATCTACCCCAGGGGCACCACAGCCCTCCTCCATGGCTTCGGCAAGTGCTAAACTACAGTACCAGAGATTGCGCTCTGTACCTCAGCCCCAGAGGTTTCCTCAGTCTCCTCACTTACCCCTCAAAGCCAAGAGCCTTTGCTCGCGAAGGGGCTCGGCCCATTTCTCTAGCGTGGAGAGCGAGGTCTGAAGTTCAACAAGGTATCAAAAGTCATAAGAGATCCCTGCAAGGCTGACGCTATGCAGGTGATTTGGATCTGAATCTGCCCAGCAGCAAACATGGCAAGGCAGCCAAGTCAGTACAGTATACGCACTGAGCCCTTTCCTAAAGGTCTGCACAAACAAACAAACCAGAAAGCCAAACAAACCCAGTGGGGTTGGTCAAATGAAAACAGGAGCAACCTTGTGCTATACTGTTTCTTTTATTCCTCTCAGTATGTGAATGACTACAACCACAGCCACAACTTGCATTCTGAACCAATACACTAAAAGCAAATCAGACATTAAAAGTGGTACAACCGAAAGAGACTCCTTTACTATAGACAGTAAAGGGCTTTGGATGTTGAAGCAGAGCAGTAGTTTGTATTCAGAAGATTCTTAATGCTTACTGAGGGCTCAGGAACTTTGTAGTACTGTATGCCTGCTGCTCTCGGAAGCCTTTAACACAGAACAATGTTCTTATTTTTTTTCCTTAAATGAAACGCTTACCCCTACTTTCCTTTTTCCTTAACAAACTGTTTACACCCCCGCAGAACTGTGACACCCTTCTGAGGCACGTTTGTTGTGTATGATCAATACCTTCTTGTTTAGAGGGAGAGGAGGGTGATAACCACCTTGTCGTCTCTGTGTTATCCATGCATCCTCTCTTGTTAGCTTCTCTTTTGTTCTCTCCTATCTTTTCCCCCCTTATTCTCTCCTCTTACCTCCTCTACCTCCGTATTTTCTTTCTCTCTCTTTTTCTCTGCTGTACCTTCTTTTCCCACCTTATTCACATGTCTGTCTTCTCCTCATCTCTCTTGACATCTCCTCGCCTGTCCTCCCCTCTTGGCTCCTCTCCTTGATGTGATTATTATGTGTGTCTGTGCATTTCTGTGTTTGTATTCTTGACAACAGGGTAAGTCAACTGTGACTGATATTCTACTGGCTTAATGAAAAGCTGAGTGCCAAACTTAAGTAGAGCTCAACATCAATCTGTACAACATTAGCTGCTGTGTTTCCTTTTCTCTTGCAGAGTATTCCATCATCTCCCAAAAATGTGCACATGCAAGTACACATTCACACACACATAAAAGTACACACACTTGCTGTCAATTCATCTATTCTCTTTCTTGAGCAATACATTATTCATCCTCTGTTCATGTTACAATTTTATACTTTGAAACCTTTATTTTACTTCTGTGTTGTAGTAGTTGTTGTTGTTATTAATGGTGTTCTATATATCAAAACATGTATTAATTCTAATACAATGTAAGCACTGTGCCATACTACTCAAGCTGCACATGAAACATTCTCTCAACTACCTAACTACGACAATGGAGGCAGTGTCTTTTCTCTCCCTGTATTTGACTGAATGTAAAGTCAGCCACCAACAAGTGTGCTGCATCAACATCTAAGACACTTGGAAATGGAAATTGTAGCATTTCCGATGGATTCATAAGATATTCATAACATCTTTGTTGATATAGCCTGAAGTAAGCAACGGTATGTTACCCTTGCAGGGTAAGTGTACATGCATCATGCTTAAGGATTAGATCTGCAATGAGTAACATTTTTAGAGTTTTAAATCTTTTGTTGGTTTTCTCCTTCAAGTGGTTCAATCGGTGCCAAGACTACAGCAAATGTTTGCAAATATAAAACTAATTAACCCAGGTTTGCTTGCCATCAAGCAGGAGATATGTTTCCAACATGCTAGGTAGAGCTACACAGTTTTGTTAGACAAAGTAAAGGATTGTTGCAGGGAAATGTATAGCCTTATGCTGATGCCTCTTGCCATATGTTTTGTGCAAAGTATGAGTATGAAGGTATGTATTTTAATCAACTTGTTAACCAAGACTATATGATAGAAGGGGGAGGATTTTGATTGGTGTGAAAATAAATCAAGTGCAAGTGCCGTTTTGATGTCAAAGAGACTGTGCCTATGTTGGATGCTAGCAGTATAGACAGTTTTGAAGAAGTGCTGGATCTGAGTGATGGTTTATGAAAGACACAGTAGCACCTCCTGTGAGATTTTGTTTTTTTTTAAAGTATTTCTCACCTTGTAAATGTATAACCAAGAGCTATAGCTTTTTAATCCATGATCAAGCTGACACCAGCAGTTACACTCCGATGTCAAGCACTTAGCTAGAGTAGGTAGTTATATCCATCAACATTAGAATTTAGTATCAGGACATTGAACATCAATGGGGCTTTAGTGGAGAGGCAAGAGCCGTTGGCACCATGGCGTTTGTGTTTTTGAGTCAGTCATAATGCCTGAGCCATCTTTCCCACACAAGTCTGATCAGCTCTTGTTGTTTGCCTAGAACTGCATCTGAGCCATAATTTACTTAAGCTGAAGAGAACAAAAAGAGAATTTAAGTTTTTAAACATAAACTTGTTGTGTAGTTTGCCTTTGTTTAAGAAAAAAATCTAGATACATATATATATATATATATCATATATATTTGTGGCGGTGGGTAGCATTAGAGAAAATAGTTGTTTAGCATCTTGATATTTGGGGATATTGTTTCTCATTCCAAGTCCATTCCATATTAATATAAATATGTGTTAAAAACACATATTCACTCATAATCACGGATCGGGAGATTAATTTGTTCAAATTTTAGATTTACTAAAAAGACTGTATTAAGCCAAGTTGGAGGAAGTGCTTTGCTTATTACAATCAGCAATCAACAGCTTATACAAATTTCAGTGAAATCAGGAAAAGCGTGGAGTAAGTGTGACATGTTTCAGGGCGTTCACACCGCAAGCAACTCAAGTCTGTTGCCTCAAATACAAACAATCTGTATGACCTATAAGAAAATTTAGCTTACTTTTGTCTTTGAAAGGTTAGCTGCAGTTAAATGATTGGGCTCATTTGTCTTGCTGTGTGTCACCCTGTTGCTGAAACACTACAGCATCAGTGAGCTAGCATACACAGGTAATTGCACATTAGTACGGCACAGCAGCTGCTAGTGGTGTGAACACAGAGCATGGGTGCTTCATCAGAGAAATGAGCCACCAGTCTTTCCTTCTCTCCCCTTACCTCTTTTCCCTCATGTCTATCCATTGTGTTGGTGCGTGTCTGCAATTGTAAAGCTGGTCTGTTTTTAAAAAAGAGTATCTGTGGATATATTTATTTCATCAAAAAAATTGCATATCTAAATATATATGATAGAATATTTCAAGGCGCTAAGATCTATGTTATATAAGTTTGTCTACTAAATTTTCGGTATTATCTTAATGAATTAATGTCTTTTTTGTCTGTCTGTCTCTCCTTGTCTCAAACCTCCTGCCCAGCTCCCTACCCCCCAGCGAGAACAGAGACCAGTATGTAACTGTGTTTTTGCTCACTTAAGACCAACCATCCGCCTCCATTAGCTATCTACTGTAGCTAACGCTAAGATTTCAACAAAGTGACAATGTGGAGGGGGGCGCGAGTGTCTTATGACCGTGTCACTGTAGCAGTGGCGGCGTGTGTTTGTCTACCCAGAGGGGCCTTTATTTTTGGTTTGGGCTACAGATTAATGACTAATTAAACCTTTTATGGATACAGCAGCTTTTACCACAACTCTCACTTGTGTAGGGGTCTGTTTCGGGTTCACATCAGACCCTGGAGTTTATATCTCAGTGTAGAGTGAGGTGACCTCTTTCAAACACAATGTAGCGAGCAGCACAGGCTTTTTTTGCATCTTTTAGTAGCTGTATTATATACAAAAACATGCACAGCTACCCCTGCCAACCAACCTATACAGTATATATAAGGACTTTGATATACGTACATAGTGTGTTGTATTTGCCAAGCTGCTGTGCTGTAAAACAAAAGAGGAAAAAATACACAACAAACACACTGTTTCTTTCTTAATTTTACAAAACTGGTCAAGCTAATACGACACATGTCAGGGGCAGGGCTAAATCTTAGTGTGGTTTCCACTAAGACCAAAAACTGGTCAAACCAGGGCTTTCTTTTTTGATAATAACTTCAAAAAACATTATCAGTATTCCCCCTTTTACCAGCAAAAAAGGGTTCCTAAATTGACAACAATGACCCTGCACATGTCATTGAGTGAAACATTGAAACAACACTGCCTGAAAGTTTTATTTTTTTTATTAAAATTTCACATACATAGATACCAAAATAATTAAGGAAATCTTAAAAGATACATGTGAGGGTGTGATAGAAGCCAATAATGGCTTATATGAATAACCATACCCAGAAAACATAACATACAGTAAAGATATAATACAAAATCACAAATACATTTTAAATATTAAGAGGTAGGAGATAGGTGATCCACCCTGCAGGCCAACTTACACTTTTACATTCTTATGATACATTAATGTAAGTCAGTGTGGTCCAAAGTAAATCAAATTTCAACACGTTATTTAGAACTATATGAAGCATTTACTGGCCCTGAGCCCTGGTAAGCCCAATTTTAGCCTTCAGTGGAAACACATTCACAGTTTCTGCCTGTACACCTCTGAACAAAGGCCTTGTATTAATACTGCTGTATTGACTGACTGTATGAGATGATGGCTAGTTGTGCTACACTTTATTGTCAGCGCCTCACACATGCATACAGACACACACACAGACACTCACACACACGCACACAGGCTGCCACCACAGGTTCAGCCACATCTGCCACCAGTGGGGACAATGACAATACTGTGATGTACTGCAAGCAGGACAGAAATAAAAAGATGATTTTAATAAAGAAGTGAAACAAATGCCTGAGTTTTATTTTGATGGTTGGGTAAAGAAATATTAGCACATTTTGTTTGATTGATACTTTGATTAAAAGTATGGCTTAGAAGGTGACTCACAAGTGAATTTTCACTCTGGTCCCATTCCATTCCCACAACAATACGCCTTCCCAATCCCATGATTTTTCACTTTTTGACTTTTCACCAATTTTGAATTTTATGTGTAAGTTACCAGTGTCAGGAATAAATTGGGCAAAATAGTAAATTGATGGCTTTATTGGAGTTAATGAGACATTTTTTCTGTATAGCCCAAATCTGTGTTAGTAGCTGGTGAGTGTATTATATAAAACTAAATACATTACATTACTAATACAAAATTACATTATGAGCAAACAACAGTGAGACAAGTCAAATTTTTACTGTGTCCCTAACCCATGTAGAGCTGATGATCAGGCTGAAAATCAAGAGTGAAAAAAAGAGAGGGAAAATAAGGCTGTTAAATAAGACAGGAAAAAGGCAGAAAACAGAAAAGTAAAGACGAGAGAGCAAGTGACTAAAACAGGTGGAGAGAAGACGGGAAGAGTCTGTGAAAGACAGTGACACTCATAGAATAACTCAAAAGAGACGGAAAAGAAAGCGAGAGGAGACTGCACTCAGTTCCCGTCCTGTCTGCAGGGCAAGATAGAGCTTGTCTTCTCTGCCAACAATAGGCCACAAATGAGCTCCACATGTATTAGGAACACTGCAGATATGAATACATCTCACTCACAAATACACTTTATTTTCTTTCCCTCTCTCTCACATGATCTCCTTCACTCAAACATATTGCGGCCACATAATCAGTCACACATACACACTTTCTCCCTCTTACACAGCAGGAATTATCTTCTATTGCTCCCTCTGCCTGCCATTTTACAGTCCTATAATTAGACGACAGGTTCAGGACTTTAAACGTGTTGACTCCAAGTGAGCTTTTGCAACAAAGCAGACTCCATAAAAAGCAACTCATTGCATTTCTGCTGGCATGTGTGCTCTTTGATTATGTCTGTCCTGGGATGTATACCTACGTATATGTGTGTCTACAATAAACCTACACTACTCACTACATTCTTATTATTAGGGGAGTGAAATGTCAAGGTTATAGTTCATCAGAACGGAACGTTTTACCCAAAGCACTCAGTTTCACATTTACGACTCAGTGTTAAACCACTTAATGGATGTGGTGTGACAGTCATTTATACAGCACACAGTGAATGACACCATGTGATAATACATTCATTGCCTTAGTGGATGTTTGGAGACAAAGACGCCACACTGTTACAAAAAAAGATACATTTATGTAACTTTATTTCACTTAAACCAGTTAATTTTTATGTTTTTTATTTAGTTGATACAGTGCCTATAAAAATATTCACCCCTTTAGATGTTTTCAGGTTTTCATTGAAAACATCATTTCATCATTGGCTTTTTTTGTCACTGATCAACAGCAAAATATCCTTTAAAAGTTAATTACAAATACAAAATACCTGTGTGCGTTAAGCTGATGATACACAGGGCAACTTTTTGAGCAATGTTGCTGGGCAATATTGCTAGTGGCAAGTCCGACTATGTTTTGAACGGATAGTGGCGGTGCAGGGTGGGTGGCGGAGTGGTGGGGGAAGGGGATTACGGTAGTAGTCTTTACTCATTACCATTGACAGCAACGTTGCCCTGCATGATTGCTCTAAAAGTTGCTCTGTGTATCATCAGCTTTAGTATTCACCCACTTAAATAAAACACAACTAAACAAACATAGCCTGTTGGTTTTGGAAGTCACATAATTAGTTAAATGGGGATCACCTCTGTGTATTCAAAAGGTTTGTATTGACTAGTATTAACTATGCATTCACATGGTCCTTGGATGGACCCATTTCCCGAGTTATTAAGTCTTCTTATGACGTTGGCATGTTCATATGCTCTTAAACTGATGATACACGTGGCAACTTTTTGAGCGGTAGCAATCTTTACTCTGCACGATTGCTCTAAATGTTGCTCCGTGTATCATCAGCTTTACAGTTTTTTACAATTGCTTACACACTAAAACTCATTGTGAAACCTTACACTCAGGGAGTAAAACTACAGCCCAGATTTGCACATTCTCAGCCTCACACCTTTTGCAAAACACTATACACAGTGATTTGCAAAATACTAAACACACAGGCTACAATAGACACAAAAACACTCGTCTTTGTGATGTCAAGACATTGATGTCTAAAGTGCCACACCTATGAACCAACTGATCAAACATTGCAATCAGGTGTACAGACAATTAGGTGCACAACTCTAAACTCACCAATCATGCATAAGCACTATAAAAAGGCAACAGGTGAATCAACAAAAATGGAAGATAATGTTCCAGTAAGAGGAAGAGGAATGATGAGAGGGACTGCACGTGGAGGAAGAGGGGTAGGACATGGACAAAGAACCAAATCTATCAAATGATATTAAGTTCAATTCAATTTTATTTATATAGCGCCAAATCACAACAACAATTATCTCTGAGCGCTTTTCATAAAAGAGCAGGTCTAGACTGTACTCTGTGATGATATTTACAGAAACCCAACAGTTCCCACCAAGAGCAAGCATTAAGCGACAGAGGCAAGAAAAAACTTCCTTTTAAGAGGCAGAAACCTCGAGCAGAACCATGGCTCAGGGTGGGCGGCCATCTGCCTCGACCGCTTGGGGGAGAGAGAGAGAGAGGGAGAGAGAGGAACAGAGAGAAAGAAGGAGGGGGATTGAAGGAGAGAGAGAGGGGAGGGAGGCAGCCTACACAATACACACAGAGGTACAGACAGTAAAGGTAATGTTGCTGTAGACTGAATGAATAATGGTACAGATATTTACAGTAGTGTTGTAGTAATGATAATAATCGTTATGTTAATGATTATAATTACAATAATAACAATAGGACTAGTAACAATAGTTGTAGCAGATGGTGTCGAGCAGGAACACGGGGGCAGCAGGTGACTCGCAACCATAGATCTATGGTTGCGAGTCACCTGCTGCCTGCAGAGCCAGAATCACCTGCAGGAAGTGATAGGAGGAGAGAGGAGAGGTACGAGAAAGCACAAGACTACCGGAAAGGGGAGAAGTCGAGTTAGTAACATGCATTACTGGGATGAGGTTGCATAGAGAGGGAGAGAAAGTAGAGGAGAGAGGACCTCAGTGCATCATGGGCCGGCAGTCTAGGCCTATAGCAGCATAACTAAGGGATGGTTCAGGACTCACCTGAGCCAGCCCTAACTATAAGCTTTATCAAAGAGGAAAGTCTTAAGCCTACTCTTAAATGTGGAGATGGTGTCTGCCTCCTGAACCCAAACTGGAACCTGGTTCCACAGGAGAGGAGCTTGATAGCTGAACGCTCTGGCTCCTAGTCTACTTTTGGAGACTCTAGGAACCACAAGTAACCCTGCATTCTGGGAGCGCAGTGCTCTGGTGGGGTAGTAAGGTACTATGAGCTCTTTAAGATAAGATGGTGCCTGACCATTAAGAGCTTTGTAGGTAAGAAGAATGATTTTAAATTCTATTCTGGATTTTACTGGAAGCCAATGCAGAGAAGCTAAGACAGGAGAAATATGATCTCTTTTCCTGGTTCCTGTCAGAACATGTGCTGCAGCATTCTGGATCAGCTGAAGAGTCTTTATGGACTTTTTCGAGCAGTCTGATAATAAGGAATTGCAGTAATCCAGCCTAGAAGTAACAAATGCATGGACTAGTTTTTCCGCATCATTTTTAGACACGATGTTCCAGATTTTCGCAATATTACGTAGGTGAAAAAAGGCGGTCCTTGAAATTTGCTTAATGTGAGACTTAAACGACAAGTCCTGATCAAAGATAACTCCAAGATTCCTCACAGTGGTGCTGGAGGCCAGGGCGACGCCATCAAGGGAAACTATATCTTTAGATAATGCGTCACGGAGGTGCTTGGGCCCCAGAACAATAACTTAAGTTTTATCTGAGTTTAACATAGAAAATTACAGGTCATCCAGGTTTTAACATCCTGAAGGCACAATTGAAGTTTAGCTAACTGATGAGTTTCATCTTGATCGTTATATACAACTGAGTTTCACCTGCATAACAATGAATATTTATGGAGTGTTTCCTGATAATATTGCCTAAGGGAAGCATATATAATGTGAACAGGATTGGTCCGAGGTGAGATCCTTGAGGAACTCCATGACTAACTTTGGCGTGCATGGAGGACTCATCGTTAACATGTACAAACTGAAATCGATCTGATAAATAGGACTTAAACCAGCTTAGAGCGGTTCCTTTAATGCCAATGAAATGTTCCAGTCTCTGCAATAGGATCTGATGGTCAATGGTATCAAATGCAGCACTAAGATCTAATAAAATCAGTCCTTTGTCTGATGCAATAAGGAGGTGCTGTCTCTGTGCTATGATGGACTCTAAATCCTGACTGAAAATCCTCAAATAAACTATTGCTCTCTAGAAAGTCACACAGCTGTTTGGCAAGTTTGGGCTTTTTCAGAAGAGGTTTAATTACAGCGACTTTAAAGTACTGTGGTATAGACAGATTGATCATATCTAGTATAGAAGTGCTCATTTAGGGATTTAAATCTTCTTTAAGCAGCCTAGTCGGGATGGGGTCTAAGAGGCAGGTTGATGGTTTAGATGAAGAAATTATTGAAGTTAGTTGGTAAAGATTGAGGGAAGCAAAGCAGTCTAAACATATATCTGGTTTTCCAGCCATTTAAAAGGTTCCTGAGTTTGGAGATAAGTCGGTGCCAGCTGAGGGCAGGTCTTGGTGAATTATGTTTCTAATAGTTAGAATTTTATCATTAAAGAAGGTCATGAAATCGTAACTACTGAGAGCTATGGGAATACTTGGCTCAATAGAGCTGTGACTCTCTGTCAGTCTGGCTACAGTGCTGAAAAGAAACCTGGGGTTGTTCCTATTTTCCTCTATTATTGACGAGTAGTACGCTGCTCTGGCATTACGGAGGGCCTTCCTA